GTGTGTGAAAGAGGTAAATTAGATGTCACTCCTTCTCAAAACTCTCCAAGGGCTTCCTTTCTCATTCAGAATAAAAGCCAAAGTCTTTACGATGTGCCCATACAGCCTTATCCAACCTGATTGCTGACACTGTGTCCTCCTTCTCCTAGTGAAGTTCCCTCTGTTGCTACCATACTGCCCTTCCTGACATTCCTTAGACACTACAGCCACACTCGCTATGCATGGCCTTTGCACTTGTTGTTCCCACCGCCTGGAACTTTCTCCTTCAAATGCCCTGTGGCTTGTTATCCCCCACCCAGCCCTCCAGTCCTTACTCAAATGTACCTTGTCAGTAAGGAATTCTCTGCCAAGCCTTCTTAAAGGTGCAGCTACCTCTGCCCTGTCTCTCTTCTCTGCTCTATTTTATCCAAAAGGACAAAGTGTCTCCTCATCTGCTGGCTGCAGTGTCTCATGCCTGTAATACTCGTACTTTGGGAGGCCAAGATGGGCAGATCGCTTGAGGTCAGGAGTTCAAGACCAGCCTTGCCAACATGGTGAAACCCTGTCTCTACTAAAACTATAAAAATTAGCCAGGCGTGGTGGCATGTACCTGTAATCCCAGCTACTTGGCAGGAGAATTGCTTGAACCCAGAAGGCAGAGGTTGCAGTGAGCCAAGATCGCGTCACTGCGCTCCAGCCTGGGTGATAGAGCAAGACTTGGTCTCAAAAAACCGAAAAACATTAAATGCCTTCCTGAATGAATTTTCTTTCTTTTGCTTTTTTTCTCGCTCAGGTTATCTGTTAGACCTAATTAAGTAAGCTTATCTTCTTCTAGGCTTCAACCACTACTTGAATTTCATTAACTTTCCACATTTATTTATCTCTAACCTCACTTTTATTCCTGAATTTCATTTGTATTGCCAACAATTTGCTGTATGATTTTAACTGTGTCCACCAAGTATCTAGACTTTAAAATCAATATTTAGAAACGCAAACATATTTACCGAACCGCTGACACTGACCTTAAATTAAAATAAACACATGCCACAACTGTTCTTTCTCTTACATATATTTTTATATTTTAAAGCAAGAACTGATGGAGTCATCCTTACTTTTTTCTAATATTTCCTATATCTAATTTATCCCTTCATCCTGCTAATTGTACCTCTTTTGAGTTGTCTCACATAGATCACCTCTTTTCCACCTTCTTATGTGTGAGTGGATGCAAAACCTTCCTAACCAGTTTCTCTACTCCCTACTATTCCAATTCATTCTTTGTATTATTGTCAGCTTTATATTTCCAAACACTTCCAGGACCTTCAAGAAAAATGTTAGAATTTCATAATAGGTCATAAATTCGTTTAATCTTCTGAACCACAATAGAGAGGAATTTTGTACCAAGCTCCTGGGAATCACTTTATATGACAAACTACATCCACTTGAGTGGACAAACCCTTGGAGCAAGTCAGCCCAAGATGGCACAGCTTTATTAATCCTTAGAGTCCAATAGGAGATCCAAGATTTGGAAGGGAGATGGAGGTTTTTCAGAGAAAGTGATGAGTTTACACAAGAAACAAACAGCATAGGGGCAAAACCAGATTATAACACCTCCAAAGAACTGAAACAATTCATGTACATTAAATATTTTAAGGTATATTAATATGATTTCAGGGTCTTCAAGTTTCCTTTGGGAGGTATGTGAAGTAAGAAGAAAAGAAATGAAAATGTAATCATTATAGTGTATACACACCCTTTCTGTCTTTCTGAAACAATAATTCTGCAATAAACCATTGGTGAAAGATGCATTCTCATCTTTGTGAGAACATCTCCCTTTTCTAAAACACTAGCTTGCTGGTGACTAGATCTTTGAAGACATACTTTGGTGCCCCGAAAGATACCTGATTAGCCAGACCAAGGGAACCGAGAAGGAGATTACACCTCTATTTTACTCTTATTAGTCTCTTTGCAGTTTGTACTTTCAGTAGACTACCTGTACTTAAATTTGCTTCTTAAAAGATGATGAAGACTGCAGAAAAAATACTATGTCCATATTACAGGTAAAGCAACAAAGGTCCCCAAAAGATGGAGGGACTTGGCCAGGATCACAAAGCTAGTAAAAAACTCATTTACTCTTTTTGTCATTAACATATTAAGTCCTATCAAGTCGGGATTCTAAAACTATGGGAGAATTAATCAAAGTAAATATCTTTATTTTTATTTTTTGAGACAGAGTCTCGCTCTGTAGGTGCAGGCTTGAGTGCAGAGGCACTATCTCGGCTCATGGCAACCTCTACCTCCCAGTTCAAGCGATTCTCCCACCTCAGCCTCCTGAGTAGCTGGGTTTACAGGCACCGCCACCATGCCCGGCTAATTTTTTGTATGTTTTTAGTAGAGACGGTGTTTCACTATGTTGCCTAGGATGGTCTTGAACTCCTGAGCTCAGGCAATCCAACTGCCTTGGCCTCCCAAAGTGTTAGGATTACGGGTGTGAGCCACTGTGCCCGACCCACTTTTTGTATTTTATTAGAGACGGGGTTTCACCTGTTGGCCAGGCTGGTCTCGAACTCCTAACCTTAAGTGATCCACCTGCTTCAGCCTGCCAAAGTGCTGGGATTACAGACATGAGCCACCACTCCCAGCCTGTTATTTTTTAAAAAATTTTAAGAGACAGGGTCTTGCTCTGTAGCCCAGGCTGAAATGCAGCCCTGCAATCATAGCTCACTGTAACCTCAAACTCCTCCCACCTCAGCCTCTCAAGCAGTTAGGACTGCAGGCATGCACTATGTTGCCCAGGCTGGCCTCAAACTCCTGCCCTCAAGTGATTCTCCTATCTCTGCCTCCCAAAGCACTGGGATTACAGGCATGAGACACCGCATCAGGCCCCAGAATAAACATCTGTAAATGAAAGAGTCTGTAATGAAAGAAGCTCTACAAAATCAGTTTAGTGCCGTGTTTTCTCTATTAATTTTTTTTTTTTTGAGACAAACTCTGGTTCTGTTGCCCAGACTGGAGTGCAGTGGCGCGATCTCGACTCACTGCAAGCTCTGACTCCTGTGTTCACGCCATTCTCCTGCCTCAGCCTCCAGAGTAGCTGGGACCACAGGCGCCCACCATCACGACCGGCTAATTTTTTTTTTTGAGACGGAGTCTGGCTCTGTCGCCCAGGCTGGAGTGCAGTGGCGTGATCTCGGCTCACTGCAAGCTCCGCCTCCCGGGTTCCTGCCATTCTCCTGCCTCAGCCTCCCGAGTAGCTGGAACTACAGGCGCCCGCCACCACGTCCGGCTAATTTTTTTGTATTTTTTTTGCTTTTTTTTTTTTTTTTTTTGAGACGGAGTCTCACTCTGTCGCCCAGGCTAGACTGCAGTGGCCGGATCTCAGCTCACTGCAAGCTCCCCCTCCCGGGTTTACGCCATTCTCCTGCCTCAGCCTCCCGAGCAGCTGGGACTACAGGCGCCCACCACCTCGCCCGGCTAGTTTTTTGTATTTTCTAGTAGAGACGAGGTTTCACCGTGTTAGCCAGGATGGTCTTGATCTCCTGACCTCGTGATCCGCCCGTCTCGGCCTCCCAAAGTGCTGGGATTACAGGCGTGAGCCATCGCGCCCGGCCATTTTTTTGTATTTTTAGTAGAGACGGGGTTTCACCGTGTTAGCCAGGATGGTTTTGATCTCCTGACCTCATGATCCGCCCGCCTCCACCTCCCAAAGTGCTGGGATTACAAGCGTGAGCCACCGCGCCCGGCCTCTATTAATATTTTTTAGTTATACATCATGTGTCTACATTTTCATTCCATCGTGAGCTCCTCGAGGACAGTGCTTAGGTGATATTTATCTCTGTCTTCTGACACTGTATTTCTGCCATCCAGGCAGAAACGGCTCAATAAAAATGTATTGAATCGAATAAGTATTTGTAATTCACACAACAGACAAATGCCTGATGCCTAAGCAACTGTTTATTTCCCCTTATCAATAAATGTCAGCATTGTTTTCTCCTTTCCCTGCTTTCAATTTCCTGTAAAAACCTAATAGTGACTGGCCAAGGAAATTTCCTTTTTAAATTCAAAGTTGGCGCACAGACTGAAGACACTGCGATAATCTTAATATATTCCTCGTAGGAATGTGAAAAGTGTTCAGAGCAAAGGGTTAACATATTTGGAGGTCAAAAAATTGATTCTAGGCTGGGCGTGGTGGCTTCCGCCTGCAATCCCAGCACTTTGAGAGGCCAAGGCGGGTGGATCACCTAAGGTCAGGAGTTCGAGACCAGTCTAGCCAAAATGGCGAAACCCCATCTCTACTAAAAATACAAAAATTAGCCAGGCGTGGTGGTGAGTGCCTGTAAGGCCAGATACTTGGGAGGCTGAGGCAGGAGAATCGCTTGAACCCGGGAGGCAGAGGTTGCAGTGAGCCAAGATCACGCCACTGCACTCCAGTCTGGGAGACAGAGCGAGACCCTGTCTCAAAACAAAGAAACAAGCAAGCAAACAAACAAAAAACAGGCTGGGCGTGGTGACTCACTCCTGTAATCCCAGCACTTTGGGAGGCTGAGGCAGGCGGATCACCTGAGGTCAGGAGTTTGAGACCAGCTTGGCCAACATGGTGAAACCCCATGTCTACTAAAAATTCAAAAATTAGCCAGGCATCGTGGCGCCTACCTATAATTCCAACTACTTGGGAGGCTGAGGCAGGAGAAGCTCTTAAATCCGGGAGGCTGAGGTTGCAGGTTGCATGTGACATAGCCGAGATCGCGCCATCGCACTCCAGCCAGGGCAACAAGAACGAAACTCCATCTCAAAACAAAACAAAACAAACAAACAAAAACCAACAAACAGCAACAAACAAAACGGAGGATGGTAAATAACTGTCCAGATACTTTCCAGCTTTGCCGCTATGTGAACTATTCCTTTTGCTTAGTTTGTTTTCAGCATGGGTGCTTTGGCACTTTTATGTACATTCCAGCCTCTGGGGACAGGCTTCCTAGAATAACAGGGGTTTGCCCCAGAGGCCGTGGGGTGGCCTCACTTTGGGGGCGTGGGTAGATCGCGGCTCCCAAGCCGGGACTTTGGGCTCGCAGGCAGGATCCCTTCCAGCCCAAGCACCCCGCCCAGGCGCGCCAGGCAGAGCCCCGCCCCACCCGGCCTTTCCCTTCCGCCCTGGGGCGCGGATCTTGCGTTTGAAACTAAGCAGCGCAGAGCGCGGAACCTGGCCGGCGGGCCACGTGACAAGCCCGGAGACAGCTCCGCCCACCCGCTTCCTGAGCCGCACATCCAGTCCTCCCTCCTCCCTTCGCACGTGGTGCCGTCGCTGCTGCCTCCAGCTCGCCCCGAACCCAGTTCCTGCAGCCATGGCTCCTGGCCAGCTCGGTGAGGCCCTAGTGGAGCGGCGCGGTTCGTGGCCCCCCAAGCTCCCGCCATCGGCGGCGGCGGCGGCGGGACCCGGCATGCAGGGGCGGCGCTGCGGCCCGAAAGCCAGCGTCCCCGCTCCCCAGCCGGGCCCCAGCCTGCGTGTGGCCCGCCTTAGAGCAGGTCGCGGGTGTAGGACCTGAGGAGGCCTGGGCCAGGCCTGCGAACGCTGGGTCCAGGTGCTGGCCTTGCGATTCGAGAGTCTCCTCCCCCAGACCCTCCCAAGGCCTTGCAGACCACAGTGCAAAGTGCTGCGAGTCATGAGAAAAAAATGCCTTCTCTTTCAGCCTTATTTAGTGTCTCTGACAAAACCGGCCTTGTGGAATTTGCAAGAAACCTGACCTCTCTTGGTTTGAATCTGGTCGCTTCCGGAGGGACTGCAAAAGCTCTCAGGGATGCTGGTCTGGCAGTCAGGTAAGGCACAGCTAGTTCATCAGAAAGGAGTGTGATCACATTAACCAGGAAGTATTGTATTCTAGGCACCAGGAGCTAAATAAATGCCTTACTTACTCCTCCCAGTAGCGCTGTGAGGTTGGTGCAATACTTCCCCACTTTATGGAAGACAAAAATGAGGCTCAGAGAGATTTACTAACTTTTAAGACCTTGGACGGCCGGGCGCGTTGGCTGACGCTTGTAATCCCAGCACTTTGGGAGGCCGAGGTGGGCGGATCACTTAGGGTCAGGAGTTCGAGATCAGCCTGGCCAACATGGTGAAACTCCTTCTCTACTTGAAATATAGAAATTAGCCGTTGTGGTGGGACACGCCTGTAATCGCAGCTACTGGGGAGGCTGAGGCAGGAGAATCGCTTGAACCTGAGAGGCAGAGGTTGTGGTGAGCCGAGATTGCACCATTGCACTCCATCCTGGGTGACAGAGAAAGACCCTGGACAACACACTGGAGAGATTTAACAACTTCTGCACAAGTTTAAAGAGTTGAGTAAGGGAGAACTAGGATTGGAACCCGTGCTGTTCCTGATTTTAGGGCCCTAGTCTTAGCCACTTCCTTAAACAGATTAACGTAGGTGGGCCACTTGTTATTCCAGGAAAACTTCAGTTACTTTGGTGAGTTAGTAAAACTTGACATCATGAAGATTCCAATCTACCTCCCTTCCCTTAGAATCTCCGGTAACCATATGAAGGTGCAAACCATTCATTCCCACGTTCACAAGCCCTTCATTAGCTGACTAGGCCGTGGAAAGAAGGGACTTAGAAGTGATTAAGCAGGATGCCGTTCCTGACGTCAAGGACTGGCATTCTGGTAGGAGAGGGAGTAAGTCTACTGAAAGGTAGAAAATGGAAAAGACTGTAGGATAGCTATTTAATAAACGACAGTGAGAGTTCGGAGGAACGAGATGCCCACCTCTGAAACATATTTTAGAATGAAAGAGGTGAAAGATGCCTGTCTGCTTTTTGTTGTCATGTGGAAAATTTGCTTCTTGGTTTCTAGATCCATGTAGAGGTAGGTTACTACCTTTTCTTTGTGCAGTTCTCAGCTATGTGAGCAGTACACAGCTTCCCTAAATTTAACAAGATGGTAAGCATGCCTTACTTTGTTAACAAACACATATTTTATATTATCCGATGCCTTTTTGTGTCTTGTCTCTGGTTTTCATGGGAAACCTGTGAGAATCATGGCAGGCAAGTTGGCTCTTTGCTCATCAGGAACCGAATGAGAATTCGAAGCCAGACCTGTGTTCTTTCCATTGGGCCAAACTGGGTCCTCCTATGGTAATGGAACCTTCTTTAAGCAAAATCCTCATCTGTAGTCTCTTTTTTTTCCCACCAAACTTTGTATTATGGAAACATTTCAGACACAAAAGTAGAAAAATATAATGATCCCTTGTGTCCTGTATCTGTCTTCCACTTTAGGTACCTGTCAACTGATAAGTCTTATTTCTGTACCTCTACCCACTCCTCACTTACTTTCATTATGGTCATATCTTCTTTCAAAACTGGAAATGTAAATGTGTTTCTCTTCTATGAAAGGGTAAGAAGTTCACCATGAGTGATTTATTTAGAACCCAGCACAGTAAAGTTCATTGAATGAAGTGTAAACAACTTGGAGCATTTGTTTTTCTGCAACAAAGGCCACATTCAGTTGCAGTGGTATTTTATTCAGTTGCAGTGGTATTTTATTCAGTTGCAGTGGTATTTTATTCAGTTGCAGTGGTATTTTATTCAGTTGCAGTGGTATTTTACATATATAAACTCTTATAGTCCTTGTAACAACTTTTTAGTGTAGGTAGTGTTGTCCCCATTTTATAGGTAAAGAAACTAAGCACAACGTAGTTAAGTAACTTGCTTGAGATTACACAGCTAGTAAGAGGCCAAGTTTTTTTTTTTTTGAGATGGAGTTTCGCTCTTGTTGCTCAGGCTGGAGTGCAATGGCACTGTCTCAGCTCACTGCAACCCCTGCCTCCCGGGTTCAAGCAGTTCTCCTGCCTCAGCCTCGCAAGTAGCTGGGATTACAGGTGCCCGCCACCATGCCCGGCTAATTTTTTTGTATTTTTGATAGAGACAGGGTTTCACCATGTTGGCCAGGCTGATATCGAACTCCTGACCTCAAGTGATCCGCCTGCCTTGGCCTGCTGGGATTACAGGTGTGAGCCACCACACCCGAGGCCAAGATTTTGTAGGGGTGGAAAGGTGTCACGACCAATATTTTTATAAGAGAAGATAGGTTATAAGAGAAAAGCATAACAAATTTATTTAACAAAGTTTTACATGACATGAGAGCCTTCAGAATGAAGACCCAGAGATAGAGGGAAAACCATCCATTTTTATGTTTAGGTTCAACAGCGAATACACAGAAAGGTAGAAGTATGATTGGACAGCAAGGATATGCTGTATGCTAGTAGACTGAGGTGGAGAAAGCCAGGAAAGCCTGTTTGTCCAGATTCTTCTTGGCATTTCTAAAATTCCTTCTCCACCCTGCCCTCCAACAGGGTCTCCTGTCCTACTATTGGGCAAGGAGATAAGAGGATTTCTTTATGGCCAGCTCCTAGACAGAAAGCCAGGGGTAAGTTAGAATCATAAGTTTAATTCTTATGACTGGCTTTAGGAAAAGGGGTTCTAGATTCTGTAACCTGCCCTGGGGAAGAGAAGTTCTGGTTTCTGTGACTTCAGGGAAGAATGAAGGGTGAGAGGCAAGAGGACAGGAGAAAGTTAGATTTTTGTTTGTTTGTTTGTTTTTGAGAGAGTCTTGCTCTGTCGCCCAGGCTGGAGTGCAGTGGCACAATCATGGCTCATTGCAGCCTCGAACTCCCAGGCTCAGGCAATCCTTCTACTTCAGCCTCCTGAGTAGCTGGGACTACAGGTGCACACCAGCATGCCTGACTAATTTTTGTATTTTTAATAGAGATGGTTTCACCATGTTGTCCCCCGGGCCTTGAACTTCTGGGCTTAAGCAATTATGCCTGCCTTGGCCTCCCTAAGTGCTGGGATTACAGGTGTGAGCCACGATGCCTGGACAAGATCTTGGTTCTGGCTGGGCGCAGTGGCTCATGCCTGTAATCCCAGCACTTTGGGAGGCTGAGGCTGGTGGATCATCTGAGGTCAGGAGTTTGAGCCCAGCCTGGCCAACATGGTGAAACCCCATCTCTGCTAAAAATACAGAAAAGAATCAGTCAGGTGTGGTGGTGCACACCTGTAATCCCAGCTACTCAGGAGGCTGAGGCAGGAGAATTGCTTGAACCCGGGAGGTGGAGGTTGCAGTGAGCTGAGATTCCGTCACTACACTCCAGCCTGGGTGACAGAAAGAAACACTGTCTCAAAAAAAAAAAAAAAAAAAAAAAAAAAAAAAAGATCTTGGTTCTGAGGCTGCTTCTGAGCATATTTTTGGGTATTGTTATCTACAATCATTTTATCCCAGGAAGTTAACCATTACCTCGCCATGAGGCAAATTGATGGATTTTAATTGGATTTTAATTAGTGAGTATACAGCAGTGAGCATACATAGAATTATTTCCCAAGACTACAGCGATTATGTATAAATTCTTCAGTTCAAAGGAGTAGCAAGCTTTTTAATTACCCCAAATGTTTAATTCTAGAAATAAATCTACCTTCTCTAAGTTTTAAGTGACTGTCTTCATTTGGAGGAAATGGATTTTATTTCCTGAACCCCAGGAAAAGAAATTTTGAATTTGAAAACATTTATGTCACCAGTTTGTGGATGTTGGAACTGTGTGTGTCATTGGTCAAACACCAGTCTTTTGCAAATGGCTCCCCTTAATAGGAGTATCTACCCAGGAAATTCCATATCTTACTGGCAGAACTTGCTGCTTTAAAGTGTTTATTATAGTCTCAGCTACTTGGAGGATTACTTAAGCCCAGGAGTTCTCGGCGGCCATGCACTATAGTTGTACCTGTGAATAACCACTGTACTCCAGTCTGGGCAACATAGTGAGATCCCATCTCAAAAAAAGCTATGTATGTTGATTGTAGAAAATTCAAAAGTGTGGAAAACTATAAAGAAGGTAGTAAAAATGGATTGTAATTCTTAACATGTTAATATATTTTTCTTCTAGCATTTTTATAAGCATGCACTTTATTTCATAGCTTACACAGAAAATAGATGCAGTTTTGCTTACTGCTTTATTTATGTTTGTTTATTTATTTATTTATTTTTTGAAATGGAGTTTCGCTGTTGTTGCCCAGGTTGAAATGCAGTGGCGTGATCTTGGCTCACTGCAACCTCCGCCTCCCGGGTTCAAGCGATTTTCCTGCCTCAGCCTCCCGAGTAGATGGGATTACAGGTGTGCACCACCATGCCTGCCTAATTTTGTATTTTTAGTAGAGGTGGGGTTTCACCATGTTGGCCAGGCTGGTCTCGAACTCCTGACTTCAGGTGATCCATTTGCCTTGGCCTCCCAAAGTGCTGGGATTACAGGTGTGAGCCACCCCATCCAGCCCCTGCTTTATTTTTTCTTACATATTGTGGACATTTTTACACACCATTACAACTTATAAAGTCTGCCAGAGTGTTCATGGTTACAACTTTCTAGGGGTCAGCTTGGTGATATAAATTAATATTTAAATACAGTCCTTCACTTGACCCTTTGTCACATTGTGTGATTATTTTTTCTAGTTTACTGTTTTTCCCCATGTAAAACTTTTTATTTGACATTTCTGTAATCAGACCTCTCAATCTTTGTTTAATAATTGCAAAGAATATTATACATATTTAATTTTGCTACATACATGATTTTTTAAATGCTTAAACCTTTGATTCATAAGGAATGTATTTTTGTGTGGTTTTAACCAGTTATTCCAATACCAACACCACTTTATTAAACAGTCTTTTATGTCTTCACTCACTTGATACGCTATCTTCATGTGGTGTCGTTGTTGCTTTTTGAGATTGGAGCCTTGCTCTGTCGCCTAGGCCGGAGTGCAGTGGCATGATCTCGGTTCACTGCAACCTGCATCTCCTGGGTTCAAGTGATTCTCCTGCTTCAGCCTCCAGAGTAGCTGGGATTATAGGTTCCAGCCACCACGCTCGGCTAATTTTTTGTATTTTTTTAGTAGAGATGGGGTTTCATCATGTTGGCCAGGCTGGCCTTGAACTCCCCAACTCAGGTGATCCATCTGCCTCGGCCTTCCAAAATACTGGGTTTACAGACATGAGCCACTGTGCCCGGCCAAGGATATTTTTAATGCTTTTTGTTACATACTGCCAACTTCTCAGTTGTATTTCTTAGTAATATTTAATGAGTGTGGCTTATGATTCAGTTTCTAAATTCTCTGAAAATTATAAAACCAATGCTGTGATAGTTACCAATTATCCCTGAACATACACAACAGTTAGGAAATATATTAAATAACCTTTTTTTTTTAAAGTAAATAGAATTTTACTTAAGAAATCAAGTATAGTGAAAGACTTAAAAAATCAGAATTTTCTTGTTGAATTCACGCTCAAAATCTCTTGAAATGAAAACAGTAGATGCTTTGAATAGTGTAAAATAACAGTTCATCCACACCAGTAGTACTATTCTGTTTATCTGTTTTTCAGAGATGTCTCCGAGTTGACGGGATTTCCCGAAATGTTGGGGGGACGTGTGAAAACTTTGCATCCTGCAGTGCATGCTGGTAAGTGGTTGGTATCTTTAGTGTAGAACAGTCAGTGGTTTCTAGGAATATTTTAGTTGATAACGTCCTAAAATAAAGGAAGAAAAAGGCTCAAGAGAAATTTACATATAAAGTTAATGTTATGAAGTTGCTGGCAATTTTCATAATATGTTAGAACTGGTTTAAAATCCGGCTTGTCTTACTACTTGATGAATTCAGATTGTTTTCCTCTGCTTGCTATTAGTCCTCACCTGATGCGTAATTTAGAGGCTGGTATTTCCTGCTCGAGTGGCTGAAGATATTTAGATTTCATAGTATGAAAAGACTTTTAAAATAGTTCAAACTTAGAATGAAGCATCACAATGTAACCGACTTGCCAAAGAATGTTTTTTCAAAGTGCTTTACATTTGTTCATTCACCTGAGAATGAATTATATATAAACCAAAGTGACAAGAAACTGATATCCTAGTTTGTCAGTTGTGGTACAATTTGGTGAATAAAGCTGAATGGCTACAGATCATCAGACATCCATTGACTTACAGGAACACATAGACTGTTCTGGAACTAGAAACAGTTTTGTAAGATTCTGTTTACCTTTTTTATATTTTATTGCTCAAGAAAACGGGAGCAAGAACTGAAGAAAAGATTTTTAAATGTATCCTTTTTTTTTTTTTTTTTTTTTTTTTTTTTGAGACAGGGTCCCACTCTTGCCCAGGCTGGAGTGCAGTGGTGCGATCACGGCTTGCTATAGCCTCTCCCTGCCTCCCAGGCTCAAGCAGTTCTCCCACCTTCGCCTCCCAAGTAGGTGGGACTAGAGGCATATGCCACCATGACCAACTAATTCTTGTATTTTTTATAGGGAAGGGGTCTTACCTTGTTTCCCAGGCTGGTCTCAAACTCCTGGGCTCAAGCAATCCCCCACCTTAGCCTCCCAAAGTGCTGATATTACAGGCATGAGCCACTGTGGCCAGCCAAATATATCTGTTAATCCTGATTTTTTTGTTTGATAACTCCTCAACTATATGTTTGATATTCTTTAAGAATATTATGCTGGGCATGGTGGCTCTTGCCTGTAGTCCCAGCACTTTGAGAGCTGAGACAGGAGAATTGCTTGAGCCCAGGAGTTTAAGATCACCCTGGGCAACGTGGCAATACCCCCCTTCTCTTTAAAAAATTAAAAAGACCAGCTGGGTGTGGTGGTGCATGCCTGTAGTCCCAGCTACTTGGGAGGCTAAGGTAGGAGGATTGCTTGAGCCCTGGAGATTAGGGCTATAGTGAGTTGTGATTACGCCACTGCAATCCAGCCTGGGCAATAGAGCGAGACCATCTCAAAAAAAAAAAAAAAATTTTGTTTTTAATCAAGAGGATTTAATTTGATTGAAGACACTATGTTGAAAGAAATTCCTTAATCTTACTTGTTTTTTGAACCTAATACTTTGTTTAACTTTGTTAAATTAGGAATCCTGGCTCGTAATATCCCAGAAGATAATGCTGACATGACCAGACTTGATTTCAATCTTATAAGGTAAAAACCTGAAATTGAACTTTGAACACATTATGACCAATGACAAAGACTGTGCCAGACCTGGTATCCCTGGTTTTTCTTACTCACTGTAGACATTTACTGCCTGCCTTCTGTGTGACTTTGTATGTGTGTAAGCATTTTGGTTTGGCCAGATTTATATAACCAAAATACATACTTAAGGTTTTTAGGAAGTTAGAGTCTAAATCTTAGTATGTATAGGTTGAGTATCCCCTATCCGAAATGCTTGGGACCCAGAAGTGTCTTGGATTTCAGATTTCTTCAGATTTTGGAATATTTGCGATAACATATCAGTTGAGCATCCCTCAGAAATCCGAAATGCCCCAGTGAGCATTTCCTCCGAGTGTCGTGTTGACATGCAAAAAGTTTCAGGTTCTGGAGCATTTCAGATTTTGGAGCGTTTCAGATTTCAGGTTTTCCTATTAGGGATTATCAACTTGCACAACTAACTGAGTTATTTGCATAAAGATACTGGCTGTTTCTCTTAAATATACATAACAGCTTTATTGAGATCTAATCCACATACCATACAACTCACTAATTTAAAATGTACAAAGCAGTGGTTCACAGAAGTTGTGCAACCATTACTGTGTTAGTCTATTCTGCATTGCTATAAAGGAATACTAGAAGCTGGGTAATTTATAAAAATAGGTTTATTTTGGCTCATGGTTCTACAGACGGTACAAGAAGCATGTTGCCAGCGTCAGCTTCTGGTAAGGGCTTCAGGAAGCTTACAGTCACAGTGGAAGGCAGAGGGGGAGCTGGCATATCACATGAGAAGAAGCAAGAGAGAGGGAGAGGAGGAGTTGCCCGGCTCTTTTACTTTTTAAATTTTATTCTTAATTTAATTTTATTTTATTTTGAGACAGGGTCTCACTCTGTTGCTCAGGTTGGAGTTCATTTGCACGACCTTGGCTCACTGCAACCTCTGCCTCTCGCATTCAAGTGATTCTCCTGCCTCAGCCTCCTGAGTAGCTGAGATTATAGGCATTTGTCACCACGCCCAGTTCATTTTTACTATTTTTAGTAGAGATGGGGTTTCACCATGTTGGTCAGGCTGGTCTCAGAACTCCTGACCTCAAATGATCCACCCACCTCGGCCTCCCAGAGTGCTGGAATTAGGTGTGAGCCACCACGCCTGGCCTTCCTGGCTCTTTTAAACAACCAACTCTACATGAACTCAGAGTGAGGACTCATTATGGGGAGGGCACCAAGCCATTCATAAGGGATCTGCCCTTGTGACCCAGTCACCTCCCACCAGGCCATACCTCCAACATTGGGGATCACATTTCAAAATGAGATTTGGAGAGGACACACATCCCAAACCATATTAATTGCCACATCCCAGGCTGGTCTTGAACTCCTGACCTCAGGTGATCCGCCCATCTTGGCCTCCCAAAGTGCTGGGATTACAGGTGTGAGCCACCATGCTCAGCCCACAAAAGTTTTTAATTTTGATGATGTTGAATTTATTTATTTTTTTGTTGCTTGTGTTAATGGTGTCATATCTAAGAAACTATTGTCTAATCCTCAGTGATGAAGATTTTTGTGTATATTTTCTTTCTTTCTTTCTTCCTTTTTTTTTTTTTTTTTTTTTTTGAGATGGAGTTTTGCTCTTGTTGCCCGGGCTGGAGTACAATGGTGTGATCTTGGCTCACTGCAACTTCTGCCTCCTAGGTTCAAGCGATTCTTATGCCTCAGCCTCTCAAGTAGCTGGGATTACAGGTGCCCGCTACCACGCCCAGCTAATTGTTTTGTGTTTTTAGTAGAGACGGGGTTTCTCCATGTTGACCAGGCTGGTCTCGAACTCCTGACCTCAGGTGATCTACCCGCCTCGGCCTCCCAAAGTGCTGGAATTACAAGCGTGAGCCACTGCACCCAGCCTGTGTACATTTCTTTTAAGAGTTATTTTAGTGTTAGTTATTATAGTGTTAGTCTTTGTTTCATTTTAAGTTAATTTTTATATACAGACATGAAATAGAAGTCTTACTTTGTTTGTGGCTGTCCAGTTGTCTCAGCATCGTTTGTTGAAAAGACTGTTCTTTGCCCAATCGAATGGTCTTGGCACCCTTGGTCTGCGTGCCTATTGTTATGCCAGTACCACACTATTACTACAGGTTGGTAATAAATTTTGAAATCAGCAAGTGTGAGTCCTCCAACTTCCTTTTTCTTATTCAAGAATGGCTTTGACTCTTCGGGGTCCCTTGTATTTCCACATGATTTTTAGAATCAGCTTGTCCATTTCTGCAAAACAACGCAGTTGGAATTTTCATAGGGATTGTGTTGAATCTGTAGATCAATTTGGGAAATGTTGCCATCCTAAGAATATTAAATTTTCCAGTCTGTGAACATGGGGTGTCTTTCTATTCATTTAGATTGTCTTTAATTTCTTTTAACATTGTCTTGTGAAGTAGAATTGTTTTCTTAATTTTTTTCTCATTCATTGCCAATGTATATTTTAATACAATTGAATTTTGTATATTGTTCATATATCCTGTGGCTTTGCTGCACTCATTTATTAGTGCTAAGAGGTTATTTTTGTGAATTTGGGATTTTCGGTATACTAGATGATATCATCTGCAAATGAAGATAACTTCACTGCTTTCTTTCCTGTCCTGATGCCTTTTATTTTCTTTTCTTTGCTAATTGCCCTGGCTAGAACTTCTAGTACAGTGTTCAGTAGAAGTGGTAAGAATGGATGTTATTGTTTTGTTCCTTTTCTTAAGACGGAGTTTTGGCCGGGCGCGGTGGCTCAAGCCTGTAATCCCAGCACTTTGGGAGGCCGAGGCGGGCGGATCACAAGGTCAGGAGATCGAGACCACAGTGAAACCCCGTCTCTACTAAAAATACAAAAAAAAAATTAGCCGGGCGCGGTGGCGGGCGCCTGTAGTCCCAGCTACTCAGGAGGCTGAGGCAGGAGAATGGCGGGAACCCGGGAGGCGGAGCTTGCAGTGAGCCGAGATCGCGCCACTGCACTCCAGCCTGGGCAACAGCGTGAGACTCCGTCTCAAAAAAAAAAAAAAAAAAAGACGGAGTTTTGCTCTTGTCACCCGAGTTGGAGTGCAGTTGCGTGATCTTGGCTCACTGACCTCCGCCTCCCGGGTTCAAGTGATTCTCCTGCTTCAGCCTCCCAAGTAACTGGGATTACAGGCGTGTGCCACCTTGCCCAGCTAATTTTGTATTGTTAGTAGAGACAGGGTTTCTCCATGTTGGTCAGGCTGGTCTTGAACTCCCAACCTCAGGTGATCTGCTCTCCTCAGCCTCCCAAAGTACTGGGATTACAGGTGTGTGCCACCTTGCCCGACTAATTTTTGTATTTTTAGTAGAGACAGGGTTTCACCATATTGACTAGGCTGGTCTCAGACTTCTGACCTCAGGTGATCCGCCTGGCTTGGCCTCCCAAAGTGCTGGGATTACATGCGTGAGCCACCGGCTTGGCCTCTTATCTTGTTTCTGAGTTTAGGGGAAAAGTATTTAGTCATTCACCATCAAGTATGATGTTAGCTATGGGTTTTTCTTACACTTTGTCATGTTCAGTAAGTTCCCTTCTATTTTTAATTAGTTGAGTATTTTTATATGAATAGCTGAATTTTGTCAAATCCTTTTTGTACATCTATTGAGATGATCAGGTGGTTTTTTGATTTTTCTAGATGCAGTTTGTTAGTGTTTTGTTGAGGGTTTTTGTGTGAAGGTACGTACCTAAGAGATACTGGTCTCTAGTTTTCTTGTGCCATTTGTCTGGTTTTAGTAGGAGGGCAGTAGACTTAATAAAGATGAGCTGCAAAGTGTTTCCCCTTCTCTTCTGTTCTTCTGTTTTTTGTTTTTTTGTTTTTAATTAGTTTTCAAGTTACGCTTGTTTCGCTAGGGAGCCTGCCCCCAGAGCTCCTCACACTACAGGTCTAGGAGTAGAACTGTACTTCACTGATTGTTAATTTTAGATTACTTCTGTATTTTAAATTATTCTTTTGGCATTCCTGTTACCATCATTTTTATGACCTCTCTGCAGGCAAAACAAATGTTTCACCCTTAGAATGCTCTGATATTTTTCATCGTTGTACCAATCCATTGGAAAAAGAATCTAAATTCTAATGTTCTGAATAATAGTGATCGCATTCCAAAATGTGGATGTTGTCTGTAGTCTTGTACTTTATCCTTTTATTAAAATGTTTTATAAATGTTTGATGGCTTGGTGGTTCCGGGTAGCTAAGGTTACGCAAGCAGCAGCGTTGCAGTGTGACGTGGAGGGAGTACTGTGTATCCAGATCCGGACAGCACCTGCTGACTAAATTCCCTCTGCTCGACCCCAGCAGGACACCCTGACTTTTTAACACACTTGTTAGAACTCCAAAATGTCAGGCTCATAGTTTATATTTTAGTTCTGTATGGCTTTTGATAACGTTAATAGTACTGACTTGTCTTTTTCCTAGATAGCTGTAAACCACATGAGTGGAGTTTTTAATGACGCCAGATTCGTCTTTGTTTTAGAGTTGTTGCCTGCAATCTCTATCCCTTTGTGAAGACAGTGGCTTCTCCAGGTGTAACTGTTGAGGAGGCTGTGGAGCAAATTGACATTGGTAAGTCAGAAAAACCATTTTAGAAGACAGAGAGAGGAGAGAATTATTTAAATTTTAGTGAGATTTCATTTTGACTTTCATTACTGAGGAAATAGAAAATAACTGCTTCTGGATTGTGTTTTGGGATTACTATAATTCATTTATATTTTCTTTTTTCATTTATATTTTCTTTTTTTATTTTTTTTGAGATGGAGTCTGGCTCTGTTGCCCAAGCTGGAGTGCAGTGGCATGATCTCGGCTCACTGCAAGCTCCGCCTCCCGGGTTCACGCCATTCTCCTGCCTCAGTCCCCCGAGTAGCTGGAACTATAGGCGCCCGCCAGCATGCCCGGCTAATTTTTTGTAGTTTGTTTAGTAGAGATGGGGTTTCACCGTGTTAGCCAGGATGGTCTCTATCTCCTGACCTCGTGATCCGCCTGCCTTGGCCTCCCAAAGTGCTGGGATTACAGGCATGAGCCACTGCGCCCGGCCTCATTTATATTTTCTAAGCTATTTTTTGTGTGCAGAGATTCATCTGGGTAATTTTCCTGATTTTTTTTCTCTTTTTTTTTTTTTTTTTTGAGACGGAGTCTTGCTTTGCCCCCCAGGCTGGAGTGCAGTGGTGCAATTTCGGCTCACTGCAACCTCTGCCTCCCAGGCTCAAGTGATTATCCTGCCTCAGCCTCCTGAGTAGCTGGGATTACAAGTGCACACCACCAAGCCCAGCTAATTTTTTTTTTAATTTTTAGTAGAGACGGGGTTTTGCCATGTTGGCCAGGCTGGTCTCGAGCTCCTGACCTCAGGTGATCCATCTGCCTCAGCCTCCCAAAGTGCTGGGATTCCAGGCGTGAGCCACCGTGCCCAGCTTATTTTCCTGATTTTTAAGTCAAGAATTAAAATGGAAGTACATGCACAATGACTTTATTTCAAAGAGGTTCATAAGCTGATAGGGACATACAAAAATCATTATGTCTTTTGTTCTTCAAAGGTGGAGTAACCTTACTGAGAGCTGCAGCCAAAAACCATGCTCGAGTGACAGTAGTGTGTGAACCAGAGGACTATGTGGCAGTGTCCACGGAGATGCAGAGCTCCGAGAGTAAGGACACCTCCTTGGAGACTAGACGCCAGTTAGCTTTGAAGGTGGGATGCACTGTCATGATATTGTGAGTTATATCCATGGAGTGCAGCATTTGCCAGACCAGTCAGTATTCAATTCTTGGTAGATTGCATCACCTACCAAAGCTCTGCGTGGGGTTGCTGTCCTTTTGTTAAAAATTGAGAGACCAGCTATTACAGAGGTATTCTGTCACAAAGATTGAAAGAGGGCCGGCGCGGTGGTTCACACCTGCAATCCCAGCACTTTGGGAGGCCGAGGCTGGCAGATCACCTGAGATCAGGAGTTCGAGACCAGCCTGGCCAACGTGGTGAAACCCCGTCTCTACTAAAAATACAAAGATTAGGTGGGTGTGGTGGTGTATGCCTGTAATCCCAACTACTCGGGAGACTGAGGCAGGAGAATCGCTTGAACCCAGGAGGTGGAAGTTGCAGTGAGCCGAGATCACACCACTGCACTCTAGCCTGGGTGGCAGAGTGAGACTTTGTCTCAAAAAAAAAAAAAAAAAAAGATTGAAAGAGATTTGGAAAGGGGTAATTTGTTGGACCATTCATTGCTTTGGTGTCATTCATGGTGTCATCATATCGTGCGGCCACCACATAGCACTGAATGGTGAGGAGATCTTGTTTGCCGTGGACCTAGAAAACCATCTTGTCCCCGCTTTGGGAAGTGCTGCTAGTGTCTCACAAAACTTACGCTTTTTGTAGGCATTCACTCATACGGCACAATATGATGAAGCAATTTCAGATTATTTCAGGAGACAGTACAGCAAAGGCATATCTCAGATGCCCTTGCGCTATGGAATGAACCCTCATCAGACCCCTGCCCAGCTGTACACACTGAAGCCCAAGCTTCCCATCACAGGTAAAGCCTGAGCGTTCTGTGGCATGGTTTGCTGTGTCTGGAGAGTGTGTGTTTCTCTGTATTGCATCTGATGTGGTTCACATTCAGAAGATGATACATTCCATAATGCCTCTTGTAGCCATGTGATAACCATCTGGTTGGAGATGCCATTTGGACTGAAGAGCACAGAAGTTGAGTAGTCCAGAGTTCTGAAAAGGTGTCATGTGGAGATGGAGATTGGAATGTCTCCGCCGGGTAGATGTTTTTGAAGACAGGAGACAGGATGGGATGGCCTGGATTTTATAGAGAAGAGGGTCAAGAATGAGCTTTGGGGTAAAGGCTTGGTAGGTATACTGTGGAGGAACCAGCAGAAGAAAACTTGTGAAATTCCTGTTGCTGACTCTTGAGGAGCAAGTTTTCTAAGCCCTTTAGGTTTCCCCAGACATTACTGAAGCAATTGCAGCCTCTGGAAGAAGTCTGACTATTCTCCAAGGTCTGCTTTGTGGTGAGCCCGTCCTGGGGGTTGGTGCTGGGTATGTAAGGAGCCTGATGACCACTGGCAGGTTGGCTTCCAAGGAGCCATTTGTGGAGAGGGACAGCTGCAACACTGGATGCTGGCTTCTGCCCTGGCATTAGGATGTAGCCTCTCCAGGAAGGACCCAGTATTTGATGAAGTAACATAAACCATCAAGTTCTCAGGAATTTGAATTGTTTTGGAGACCTAAATGTGTTGATGGTCTGGCACAGAGCAGTTGTGCATTTGAGAACAGAAAAGGGACTGTTTGTTTTGCAAATGTTGTAAGAAGCAGTTTCCTTGGAATGTTGGAGCTAGAAGCCCAATTGAAGTAGGCCAAAGGAGAAATGTGATGTTAAGAACTAACAATGTTAAAGAGGTTTCTTTGAACAGAGAAAGTAGGACTTCCCTTGGGTTGGTAGAGTTTAGAGAGAGTTTTTAAATTTGTTCTGTTCCAAAGGTAGGCTGTGAGAGTCTGTCCTGCTCTGGTACAAGGGAGAGTGGGGGCAGGGACAGAGGTGAGAGTCCCAGGCATGGAGGCCTTGGAATCCCAAGCACTGCTGGGGTAGCTGGCCTTGGCTGAGAGCAAGGGCAGCCTCCTTCCTGCCTGGGGCGGTCAGCATTTGCTGGTGGGATGCAGCCTGGGCTTCCTTTCTCTGTCACCAGCTGAGAGAGCAATGGGGAGGGGAGCAGCGTGCCAGGTGGCAGGAGAATATGAAATAGTCTTCATGTTTGCTGCATTCTATTGTTCTGCCTCAGATAGATTTTTTTTCTTTTTTTAATTAAGATGATGGAGTCTCTTGCTCTATCACCCAGGCTGGAGTGCAGTGGTGCAATCTCTGGTTCAAGCGATACTCCTGCCTCAGCCTCCTGAGTAGCTGGGATTACAGGTGCGCACCACCATGCCTGGCTAGTTTTTCTATTTTTAGTACAGATGGGATTTCACCATGTTGGCCAGGCTGGTCTCAGACTCCTGACCTCAAGTAATCTGCCCGCCTCAGCCTCCCAGAGTGCTGGGATATTACAGGTGTGAGCCACCACACCTGGCCTCAGATACATTTTGACACTAACACTTCCCAAGTCCTCACAGCACAGTAATCTTTTAAAAATGGAAATCGGATGATGTGAGACCCTACTGAAAACCATTCCTTGGCTTTTCTTAAGCACCTTGCCCTGCCCCACAAACCCTATGCTGCCTGCCTGCCACGTATCTGCCCCCTCTGCAGCTCTCCCTGCCCTGGCTCCTAGCCCCTCTGCCCTGTGCCTCCAGTGGGCCCAGCTCCTTCCACTCCAGAGCCTCTGGGGCCTTGTCCCCTTCACCCAGAATTCTTCCCTCTGCCCTTCACGATCCTGGTTTCTTGTTATTCAGTCCTCACCTCCTCAGAGAAGCCTTCCCTGACCACTCAGACCAAAGTAGCCGCCCATGATGCTTTCATCCCGTCACCCTGTTTTGCTGCACCTGTTTCTGTTTATTCCGTTCAAGTTGTCGTTCCCCATTAGGATGGCAGCTTCTTTTTTTTTTGAGATGAAGTTTCACTCTTTTTGCCCAGACTGGAACTCAGCGGTGCTGTCTTGGCTTACCGCAAACTCCACCTCCCAGGTTCAAATGATTCTCCTGCCTTAGCCTCCCGAATAGCTGGGAATACAGGCACCTGCCACCACAACCGGCTATTTTTGTATTTTAGTAGAGATAGGGTTTCACCATGTTGGCCGGCTGGTCCTGAGCTCCTGACCTCAGGTGATCTGCCTGCCTCGGCCTCCCAAAGTGCTGGGATTACAGGCATGAGCCACAGCGCCCGGCCAGGATGTCAGGTTCTGAGAGCAGAAGCTGCATCTGTTTTTGTTTGTTGCTGAATCCCCAGGGTTTAGAAGACTGCTTGGCACATTCCCTAAATGTTTACTGAATGAACAATTAGAAACCTGACATTTTGCACAAATTTTTCCTTCTAGGACTTCTTGAAACCGATTTGTCTGCTGTTATATCTGAGCTATTTCCTGCTTATAGTTTATATTCTCCATTAAGATTCTAAGGCAAAAAAAAAATCCCTATGTACTGTCAGTTCTTACACTTTTCATTTTCCAAAGCGTTTTCACTGGACTATATAAAAGCCTTCATTGTTCCTTAGACTGTGTGTGTGTTTCTTTTGAAGTTTAAAGTATTATTTGTGGTAAACATGGCAGAGGTGGCCCTGGACACATAAATAAGCGTTTCTTGTGTGAGATTCCCAGGGTTTCTCCCCATCATGGACTTATTTCCACAACAGAAAAGGCAGTTTGCCTTTTCATATGGTTTGAGTATTTGGCAGCGATGTTATTACAAAGTGTACAGTTGTGTTTGTATCTAAAACAAAATTGAAGCAAGAACAAAGATGGGGTTGTATGAGTGTGTGTATGTGTCTGAGATTTTAATGACTGGTTTGCTTATGTTTGGAAACACGAAGATTCCTATTTATTTCAGCTATTTACTAGATTAAGCAACTTTCATCATTTCTCTGTTGCACTTTCTATTTCAGTTATTAATGTCTTTGAAAATTTGATATTTGAAGGGGAACCAGATACTCTTTTTTATTTTGAGGCAGAGTCTTGCTCTGTTGCCCAGGCTGGAGTGCGGTGGCGTGATCTCGGCTCACCACAAACTCTGCCTCCCAGGTTCAAGCGATTCTCCTGCCTCAGCCTCCTGAGTAGTTGGGATTACAGGCATGTACCACCACGCCTAGCTAATTTGTGTATTTTTAGTAGAGACGGAGTTTCACCATGTTGGCCAGGCCAGTCTAAAACTCCCAACCTCAGGTGATCCACCCGCCTTGGCCTCCCAAAGTGTTGGGATTACAGGCATGAGCCACCACACCCATCCAGATACTCTTAACTATGAGATGTTTCAGAAACCAAAAGTTTTCTCCCACTTACCAACCTTAGCCTAAACCATCTATGATGAGTGGGAGGGAGATGGGGTAGTCATACATATGGTGTTTTGTTTTATTATGCGTGTTGTATGCCTTAGGGGATATTTTACTTTTATTGTTTACTATTTATTGCCTAGTTTGTTTCTTCTGTGCCTCTCCCGTAAATTTCATGAGGACAGTGATTTTATTTGACTTGATTTTTGGTTGGGGGAATTATTTTTTCAAGTTCTTTTTAAAATGGGCTTTATTTTTTTAGAGTAGTTAACAGGTTTACAGAAAATACACAGTGATTATAGGGAATTTCCACATACCCCCTCTTCCCCATAGTTTCTTCTATTGACATCATGCATTAGCGTGGTTCATTTGTTACATTTGATGAACTGATTTTGATTTCATCATTATTAAGTAAGGTTCATAGTTTAACATTCGTTCTTTGTGTTGTACATTCTCTGTATTTGGAAAAATGCATAGTGGTATGTATCCCCCATTACAGTATCACACACAATCGTTTCAATGCCCTAAAACTCCCTTGTGCTCCTCCTCATCCCCTCTTTCCCTTCTCCCCAACCCTTTGCAACCACTGTCATCTTTTTCTCTTTTCTTTTTTTTTTGTTTTTTGAATGGAGTCTTGCTATGTTGTCCGAGCTGGTCTTGATCTCCTGGGACTCAAGCAATCCTCCTGCCTTGGCCTCTTAAGGTGCTGGGATTACAGGCATGCACCACCATGCCCAGCTATTTTTACTGACTCTGTACCAATTTCCAGAATGTCAAATAGTTGGGATCATACAGTATGGAGCCTTTTAGACACTTTCACTGAACAACATGCATTAAGTTTCTTCCATGTCTTTTTGTGGCTTGGTAGCTTAATGCTGTGTAATATTTCATTGTGTATGAATGCACCACATTTTATCCATGGACATATTGAAGGGCATCAAAACTTCCAAAACTACTAAAAAGGACAGTTTTGGTAGTTGATGAACAAAATTGCTATAATTGTTTGTGTGCAAGTTTTCAACTCATTTTGATAAATACCTAATATTTTCTTTTACTGTAGACTATTTATTGCCTATTTTTTATTTGCCTCCCAGTAAGCTCCGTAGGGACAGTGACTTTTTTTTTAAGAGGGTTGCAGGGACGGTTTTTTCCACTGATGTATCCTGAATACCTAGAACAGTGCTTAACATCGTAGTAGGCATTCAGTAAACATTTGGCAGGGTCTTTAAAAACTAGTAAATATTTGGCAAGGTCTTTAAAAACTATCTTAACCCATGAAGGACATGAAATTATACTTTTTTTTTTTTTTTGAGACGGAGTCTTGCTCTTGTTGCCCACGCTGGAGTACAATGGCGTGATTTTGGCTCACTACAACCTCTGCCTCCCAGGTTCAAGCGATTCTCCTGCCTCAGCCTCCCGAGTTGCTGGGATTACAGGCGCCTGCCACCAAACCCAGCTAATTTTTGTATTTTTAGTAGAGACGGGGTTTCACCGTGTTGGCCAGGCTGGTCTTGAACTCCTGACCTCGTGATCTGCCCATCTCGGCCTCCCAAAGTGCTGGGGTTATAGCCATGAGCCATTGTACTCGGTTCATTTTGTTTTTAATTAGTGCTGGCCCACCATTTCTTTCTGTGTGCTGAACTTCTTATGTTTATTCACAGGAGATACTAGCTCCTAAAAAAAATCTGCCAATGGTAAGACACTAGGTAATGGAAAACTCTGAAGTTGCAGTCTCCTTTTAACTACAGTTCCGCTTTAGGCAGAGTCTGCTGAGTTTGCCATCAAAGAAGGAAAAAAACCACATTATTTCTTCTCTTCTTCTTCCACCCACAGCTGTTGCTTTAGCTTGTAATATAATTTCTTAAATCTATAGGGTTTATGACTTAAATTTTGTACCGTCTCTGTAATTACGTCAATTGTTTAATCTTAGTTCTGTATTTACATGAATTCCTGACTGATCACTAGTCTTGTCATAGTTTCTCCCATCCCTAAATCTCTATTTAGGGATGGTTCTGGTCCTCCAGGCGTGTGTGTGTGTGTGTGTGTGTGTGTGTGTGTGTTCATGTACATGTGCATTTTTTTTTTTTTACAGATGGGCTCAGGCTCAGTTGCTTTGTTCTTTATCATCAAGATTTTATGCTTGTGTATATCTCTTTGGCTTTTAATTATACTTAAAACGTTTGTTTAGTCATGTTATTTTTTGAGAAGTGTGCATACATCTGACCTCACTGATCCTGCTTAGTAATGTGCATGTATATTTTTACATTCAGTTCTAAATGGAGCCCCTGGATTTATAAACTTGTGCGATGCTTTGAACGCCTGGCAACTGGTGAAGGAACTCAAGGAGGCGTTAGGTATTCCAGCCGCTGCCTCTTTCAAACATGTCAGTCCAGCAGGTAAAGCTCTGTGCTCTAGAACGTTCCAGAATTGTTCGAAAGGCATTTCTTCTTAAATTTTTTTGAATATTAACAAGTTCTAATGTGAATATAGACATTCTATGAAATCTGAAAGTCATCTGTTGATAACAGTATCAGTGTAACAATCTAAACTCTGATACACACACACACACAGAAAATTGTGTAATATTGTCAGATAGGAAAATGAGGCAGGAATTCGCAGGGTAGAACCATAAAAGTTTAGAAAATAAAAGTGAAATATCCTAATGCAGTAGACTAAGTCTTTTCCCACATCTTTGAAAATGTAATGGAGTAAACATAAAGAAGAAGTTCTTAGGACTGTTTATCTGAAACTTCTTGTAGTCATTGTATGAGATACTTTGCTTCTGTGTTTAAATCATTATTTCTGCAATCGAGCTGTCTGTACACCACATCTTGCTGACAGTCCAGCACATGATTTGTTCTCAGATGTTTACTGGATGTTAAAGCGATGTGAGTGGGGAAGAAATAAATGATGTGTGATGTCAAAGTGACATCAAGCAGAACAGAGAAGGAGACAGTAATGAAGTAAACCAGCTTCACCTACACGCTGGGTACTGTCAGGCTTCAGTGGCTCTGTGGTTTCAGAGGGCAGAGAGGAGATTTCCCTCACAGTGCTCCCACAACCATATTTTTAGTGTTTAATTATCTGGCTAAATAGATTTCTGTTTAGTTTAGCATAGGCACTAGAAAATATGCTGTATAGACTGGATGTTAAGAAAAATGTCTTGATTTAAGTGTTGACAGGTAGTAACTTTAGCTTTCTTGGTTTATGATTTTACTATTTTCTAACCAGGTGCTGCGGTTGGAATTCCACTCAGTGAAGATGAGGCCAAAGTCTGCATGGTCTATGATCTCTATAAAACCCTCACACCCATCTCAACGGCATATGCAAGAGCAAGAGGTCAGACCCCTAGGGCTTTTTGATTTGGAGGAGAAAGAAAAAGCAATGTTTTATCCCGAATAGAATAAAAAGGATAGAATAAAGAAAAAATATATAGATATTCTATGTAATATATAGATGAAATTAAGGGCTTCTATCTCTATATAAATATGTGGTTATTTTATGTAATATAGTTTGATTAAAGTAAAATACCCTTTCATTATAGGATTTCCAATGTTTACTAATATTTAAGAGTGATTATATGAGTGTCTCAAAGACATTTGTTTATAAAAGTATGTTAGTATTTTAAGATAATAAATGGAAACACAATTGGAATTTGGTGAATGTAATTTTGCTAATTTAGGCTATTGAATGTGTTATTGTTTAATATGTGACCAAAATTGAAATTATAAAAAGCTATTTTTTTTTTTTTTTGAGACCGATTCTTGCTCTGTTTCCCAGGCTGGAGTGCAGTGGCACGATCTTGGCTCACTGCAACCTCTGCCTCCTGGGTTCAAGCAATTCTCCTGCCTCAGCGTCCCAAGTAGCTGGGATTACAGGTGCATGCCACCACGCCCGGCTAATTTTTTTGTATTTTTAGTAGAGACGTGATTTCACCATGTTGGCCAGGCTGGTCTCGAGCTCCTGACCTCAGGTGATTTACCTGCTTCAGCCTCCCAAAGTGCTGGGGTTACAGGCATGATGTATGGCTCTTCTAACTTTACTAAATTTGGTTAGAGTCATGTTTTATCAGAGACATTTACTTGTTGAATTTAATAACCTGTGAATATTTAATATTTGTGAAAGTTCTTGAGAAACTATTATCATAGTTTATCATCTACAGCAGCGGTCAGCAACTTCAGCTGAATCCAGCCTGCTACCTGTTTTTGTGAATATAGTATATATATTAACTGGTCCTTCACAGAAAAAGTTTTCTGAGTGTCACTCTAGAGGGTAAAATTAAAGAATACTTTCTTACTGGTTACTTCAGTTAAATGACTTATCGATCTGTTAAAATCTTATGTAAACAGTAAGGTTAGATTTAGAGAAATGAATTTTCTATGACAGTAGAGAATTTTATTTTTCTATGTCAGGATACTTTGTGATAAATACCTCATTTTAATTTTATTTACAGGGGCTGATAGGATGTCTTCATTTGGTGATTTTGTTGCACTGTCCGATGTTTGTGATGTACCAACTGCAAAAATTATTTCCAGAGAAGTTAGTGGATATTCATGTATCTTAATCTGTGTGTAATTGAATAAAGCTTTATTTGTTCATATTGTTCACTGAAACCATACTATATTTATATTTATATCTTTAAATTAGCTAAGTTTATCATTTAATGTTCATATTTTAAATAGGACATGAATCTTAAATTGTTAATTTTGAAATGTAGTGAATTATTGTTTCAAATGGACATTTGGCTGTTATGATAATGTTTTTAACTTATATATTTATTTTAAATTCTTTTGTTGTCTTTATGCCAAAGTTACTGTTTCTGAAGAGCAGAAGTTGTAATCTTAGGTAGTGATGCGATAATGAATCTTATTGTACAATGGGGAAAAAATAGAAGCTACATTAATAAACTTACTCCATCAGTTGAATACCAAACAAGTATTCCAGACAGGTGGGGGTACTGATGATAGTAGGAAGACAGGAAGAAAAGGAAAAAAGATTGAATAGCTCAGAAAGGGAAGAAAATAGTCAGAAGTGAAGGCTGAAGGAGCATGTGGCTTGGCAGTATTTTGTTGCTTTAGGATTCTTTCCATGGCTGCTGCCATCCCTGAGTTACAGGTTACAGGAGGGCTATGGCGTTTGTACCTTTCGTCATGTTGAATCTCTGATTTAATCTGGTCTTGCTGTTAAGGAAAACGCCTGCCGGAAGAGGTCATTTAACCATGTACTAGCAGAGTCAGGACTAGAATGTGCTCTTGTTCATTCAAAACACTCCCTGAAGAAATATTTCCTCCTGAGGTACGTGCGTTAGAGCACATCACTCATATTTTCTTAGTTTAAACTGAAACGAACAAAAACTTGGAAAGGACAGAAAGTTAGAATCTGCGATACAGAAAGCCGTATTCTACCATAGATTCCTCTTTTTCAAGTATAGCATTAGCATTGTCTGTTGGAGGCAGAAACCAGAACATACTGCCACATTATTTAAGACTGATAATTGCTGCTAGATTTTTTTAAGAGGTGTTCTCTGATTTTTAAAAATAGAAATTAAAATTTAATATTTTTGCAGGTATCTGATGGTATAATTGCCCCAGGATATGAAGAAGAAGCTTTGACAATACTTTCCAAAAAGAAAAATGGAAATTACTGTGTCCTTCAGGTGAGTGCAATTCATGTTTGAAGCAATAATTTGCACTTTTATTCTGTGTCTCTTCCCCCCTTGTTTAATCTTTCCTTTATACGCATACCCTTCTAGTTTATCCTTATCATCCTTTTCCCCTAATCCTGCATTAAAAAAAAATACTATTAACTTGGGGATTTGAGATGAGGGTAGCTTTCTTACCCTCAATTTTAACTTTTTGCTCATTGAAATGGCTCATGCCTGTAGTTTCAGCCACTTGAGAGGCTGATGTGGGAGGATGGCTTGAGGCCAGGAATTGGAGGCTGTATTGTGGTACCGTGATGCCTGTGAATAACGACTGCACTCCAGCCTTGGTAGTGTAGTAAGACCATGTCTCTAACATATAATAATAACAACAATATTTAATGGAAAGTCTGTCCATCCTTCTGTTACCTTTTGAAAAAATAACTAATATTTTAAATTTCTGGATTATCTTTCCTGAAATAGTCTGTATATTCAGCAAATGTTTGCATGTGCATTTCTTTTTCTATTTTCCCATTGACACAAGTGCACCCTGCTTCACCTTCTTGGAAGTTTGTCCTGTATCTCTGTATTTTAACTTACCTAGACAGTCACCAATCTTTAGCTGCTACAAATACCCCCACAGTGAATGACCTAGAAAAGTCCTAAGGGTGAAATTAAGGCTTTAAAACAAGCTATATGTGTATTGATAAGCCTGATTGATACTGCCCCTTTCAGATGTTGTAGGCAAATTCATTGTCCTAACTGAAATATATAAGGATGCCTGTTTCCCAACACTTTTGCCAGCATTGTGGTTTTATACTTTTAAAAAGTCTCTGCAATTAGAAAATGGCATCTCAATGTAGTTTTAACATTGTGTGTGGTATAAGCATCTTTTCATGTTTGAATGTTTTTATTCTTTTTATGAACTGTCTTTCCATATTCTTTGATTTTTCTACCAAGCTGTTGAGGTGTTGTGTTTGTTTTTTTTTTTTTTTTAACTGATTTTTATGAGCTCTTCTGTATTGGGAAAACTAACTCATGGTCTAAGATTATGCATTGATAAAGCGAAGAGTTATTTCAATTTAAAGTAAAAATTCCTAATGCTGCTTTTCACATAGTATTTGATATCACAACTCTGTGGAATCCCAATTCCATATAAGGAAAGTTATTAAGTATATTCCTTTGATTGTAAGATACCAATAATTTTATAGTTCACGATAGATTCCATGTCAGCTATTCAAGGAAAGAAGAAAATACCACATTCAAGATACATATTTTTTTTTTTTAGCCACTTGACAGTCTGTTGGCCAGGCTAGAGTACAGTGGCGCTATCTTAGCTCACTGCAACCTCTGCCTCCTGGGTTCAAGCAATTCTCCTGCCTCAGCCTCCTGAGTACCTGGGACTACAGGCATGCACTACCAGGCCTGGCTGATTTTTGTATTTTTAGTAGAGACCGGGTTTCACCATGTTGGTCCGGCTGGTCTCGAACTCCTGACCTCAAGGGATCCACCCGCCTCGGTCTCCCAAAGTGTTGGGATTACAGGCGTGAGCCATCACGCCTGGCCTCCAGTTTCTTAATCAAGTTTTTTTGTTGTTGTTGTTACTAAGAGTATTATGTACTTAACAACTATTAGCATTTTCTTGTAGCATCATGGAAAATATTTTCCAAAACCTGAATCATTGTCTTGATCTCTTTAACACCTGATAGTACCATGTTGGAGAGTGTCAAAGGAATATGAGGACTTCATTGCTATTTTACTTATTTGAGTATTTGGCTTAGTTTGCACATTGGATACATGATGATAAGCATGAGACAACTTATCCCTCTACCTGACTTATGATAAGTTTCTCCTAGCATCAGTTAATAGGAGAGCATATCAACTTTAGAAATTTTGTCATGCGTAATACAAAGGAACATTTTAGAATTCAAGAAAATGTAGATTAAGCAGAACTAGTATGTATGGGGTCTTGCTTATAAATTATAGATGTCAGTGCTTTCTAAATCAAAGATCATCCAAAGCATAAAGAAGAAATAGTGTCAAGTTTAAAAAAAAATCCAGGGAGAGAGTAGTGTTACACATATTGTTCCACATACCTCAATGTTTTTTTGGTTCAAAATTTGGGAGAGGAAGATGACAGTAACTCATACAGATTCCTTCCAAATAACAAAGACCCGGGTTACAAATCCTGTTTTCTCACTTTTAGCTTTTAATTCATGGGTTAGCTGGGTATTTTGTAACAGATTTTTAGAAAGGAAAATTAGAATTTAATGTTTGTGTCACGGCTTATTTAATTAGCACATCTGTTTTATCTGCCGACCTTTCAAAAGAACCATACACATAGTAACTTAGCCAAAAACACACTCACTGGAATCATTGGTTTTTAACATGTTGTATATAGGTTGTAAAATCTATAAAATGCTATTGGGTAGTAAAACCTATAAAAGACTTTGGAGAAAAATATTAGTGCCTGGCTATCGTATTGTGTCATGTCAGAACAATTTAACACATCATTTGGTGTGTGAGAAAAATTAGAAAATTAGAAAAATGTGTAACAGAATTAGAAACATGCATGTAACTTTACTTATAATGAAATCTTTTGTACATAAAGTAAATGAAAATTTCAGGGAAGTGGGTAGATCACCTTTAACTTTTACAATTTGTATTTTAGATGGACCAGTCTTACAAACCAGATGAAAATGAAGTTCGAACTCTCTTCGGTCTTCATTTAAGCCAGAAGAGAAATAATGGTGTCGTAGACAAGTCATTATTTAGCAATGTTGTTACCAAGAATAAAGATGTAAGTTGGGAAGTATCTGAACTGACTGCTAGTAACTTCAGTTGGTCTATTTTCAATACTTATGAGCTTTACATTTATTAAGATCTGGATTTAGAACTGCTTTATATGCACACAGCTGTCTCATCTTTGAGTCATCAAATAAGCTTTGGAGTTTAAGAAATGAATCAAAGGCCATGTTAGATGCTTCTGTGCATATGTACATAGAGAGCTATGTAGCTTCAATCGTACATAAATGGGATCATGTGTTCCATAATCTGTCTCCTGTAACTTGCCTTTTTTCCATGTACTAGATGAGGCTACAAATGTGTTTTTGTATCAATAAATACAGATGCTGGGTGCGGTAGCTGACATCTGTAATCCCAACACTTTTGTAGGCCAAGGGGCAGATCTCTTGAGCTCAGGAGTTCAAGACCAGCCTAGCCAATGTGGTGAAACCCTGTCTCTAGAAAAAGTACAAAAATTAGCCTGGCGTGGTATCTGCACCCATAGGCCCAGCTACTCGAGAGGCTGAGGTGGGAGGATTGAATGAGCCTGGGAGATTGAGGCTGCAGTGAGCCGTGTTTGTGCCACTGCACTCCAGTCTGGGTGACAGAACAATACCCTGTCTCAAAAATAAATGCGTAAGTATTCATATCTTTATCTGAAAGTCCATATGGCAATCAGTCCATGTGTAGATGTACTATGATGGATGTTTTTCTTATTTTTACTTTTATTATTTTTGTTTTAAGAGACTGGGTCTCGCTCTGTTGCCCAGGCTGGAGTGCAGTGGTGCGATCATAGCTCACTGCAACGTGGATCTTACGATGGATAATTAGATTGCTTACATTTTCAGTGCTTGATCAATGTTTTTATATAGACAAGTTTTTGGACTTGTGCTCTTTGTTATCTTGTAGTAGGTACATGTTCCTAGGATAATAATGGTGATTTTTGTGTTTTGGATATATTATCTCATTTAACACTTAGATCACTCTTTAGGGCTGACTACCATTGTGTCTGTTATGAAGATCACAAAATTGTACCATAGAGGACAGTTAAGAAATTTGCCCAGAGTTGTACAATAAAGAATGGACAAGCTGACATTTATTTTCTGGAGTATCTTAACTGGGCCTTAAGTTCAAAGGATGTTTTTCCTAGGTCTAAAGTAGGCTGTGCTTGTTTTTCAGTACTTTGAAGGAATCATTCCATTGCTCTCTGGTCTGTCTGGCTGATAGCCTGGAATTTTTTTATTGAGTGCTAGGCACTGGGTATGAAAAAACTGTAGCGATATTTGGAGGGCTGGATGATGTTATTTTTTTCTCCGGTGTTGACTTGTGCTTCGGTTGGGCAGATAAGGTGTAGGAGATATCTTCATTCTGTGAGGAATTGTTGAGCTGATAGGAGTTTGGCCTTCAGTCTTTGTGAGGACTGGTCTGTTTATGGTTCACTCCTGCTCTCTAAATATCTACTGCTGTACACTGAACTCAGCTTTTGTCCCTTAGTCCTCTAAGACTGCCAAAAGTTGTGCTCAGCCAATTTACCTTTCAGTTTATTGCATGCCACTTGGAAAATACCTTGAGGAGAAAAGCAGACTGTCAGGCCCATTTCTTCCTGCTTCCATTTTCTCTGTGATCTTTGCCTGTTAGTACTTGCTGTCTATCCTCTCTGCCCAGCTTTTTTGTTTGTTACTAAAAGAGGATTGGTCTCTTAGCAAGCTATTTGCTGTAACAGAAGAAGATGGGGGGCTTGCTCCCAGGTCTGACTCCTAAGGCCTTTTCAGTAGAATTGCTGGAAATGAACCTTAAAATCTTTATCCAGAGAGTTCTGTCTGTTGATAAGCATACGATGATTAACACATCTTTTTTTGTTTGTTGATTTAATGTCTATTCTTTTATTTCTGTCTTTGACAATTAATGGTGTCCTGACGTAAAGAAACATGTAGGCATACATAGAAATATCTTTCAGCCCTTTGGAATCCACTCTGGTTGGTTCATGTACTTTGAAAAATACTGAATGGATATTGACCTAGATTCCATGGTACCATGTTGAGAATTGTGCCTACCTATTGAGAGTCTTTTTTCCTAAGGTTTGTAGATATTGGATTCATTAATAATTTAGCGATCTTGATAGGTTTTGTGCCTCTGGATATTTTTTTACAAGGGTGGTGGGTGTGATCTTAATCGTTTATCTAAACTCTCTCCTTGCTTTATGTGAATTCTTAGTAGAAATTTGGAAACTTAAGGATGAGAGAATGATAGCTTTATTCTCCTTTCTATTTTACCCCTGTCTTTTTAAGTGGATTTTTGTTAACATTCCAGCCTCAGAATTATTAGTCTGGAACCATTTCAGTCCTGAGAGAACCAGACAGGTGGACAGAATGTTTATTAATACTGAACATGTTTGAATTGTTTCCTCTTCTCCCATTTTTCTTGAATAGTGCTTTAATTGTTTTAACTATTTGTAGCATGTCTCTAAGACTGGATTCCCTTACTCCCAGTCCACTGGCATTTCTCGTATTCCTTGATCCCAACCCAGGATGTCAAGTGTATTAGTTTTTATCACGCTGCTGTGAAGAAATTCCTGAGACTGGGTAATTTATAAAGAAAAGAGGTTTAATTGACTCACAGTTCCACACGGTTGGGGAGGCCTCAGGAATTGTACAATCATGGCAGAAGGTACCTCTTCACAGGGCGGCAGGAGAGGGAATGAGTGGAAGCAAGAGAAATGCCATACGCTTACTGTCAGATCTCATGAGACTCACTCATTATCACGAGAACTGCACGGGGGAAACTGCCTCCATGATCCAGTTACCTCCACCTAGTCCCACCTGTGGACACGTGGGGATATTATAATTCAGGGTGACATTTAGGTGGGGACACAGCCAAACTACATCACCAAGATTATCTTTGGAGGTCTAGACATCTATGAAGCTGGCTTTTGCTAATAAGTTTTCTGGGAACCAAAGGAATCAGATTTATAGTTAGTGACTCAAATAGCAGATAAAGATAAAAGATATGTAACAATAATAATACCTTAGAGTAAATTCTTAAGAAATCCTAATAGCTTTTTTAAATTCACCTTTTAATTTTGAGGTGAAAGTTGTAGGTTCACATGCAGTTCTAAGAGTTCCCATGTAACCGTTACCCTATTTCTCCTAATGCTAGCATTTGTCACACTACAGTACAATTCCACAACCATGCCATTGACATTGATAACAGTTGAAGATACAGGACACTTTCTGGCCGGGTGCGGTGGCTCACGTCTGTAATCCCAGCACTTTGGGAGGCCGAGACGAGTGGATCACGAGGTCAGGAGATGGAGGCCATCCTGGCTAACATGGATTGGGAAACCCCATCTCTACTAAAAATACAAAAAATTAGCCGGCCTGGTGGTGGGCACCTATAGTCCCAGCTACTTGGAAGGCTGAGGCGGAAGAATGGTGTGAGCCCTGGAGGCGGAGCTTGCAGTGAGCCCAGATCACACCACTGTACTCCAACCTGGGCGATAGAGCGAGACTCCGTCTCAAAACATAAAGAAAAATTAAAAAACATAAAGATACAGGACATTTCCAACACTGCAGTGATCCCTCATGTTCTTCTGTAGCCAGGCTCACTTGATACTGCTTCCACCCCTTCCTTACCCTTGGGCAACCACAAATATATTTTTCCTTTTTATAATTTTCATTCATCGTGCATTCATACACAGTTTTTTTTGTTTGTGAACATAAGGTTTTGTTTTTGTTTTTGTTTTTTGGGGAAACAGGTTCTAACTCTGTTGCCCAGGCTGGAGTGCAATGGCATGATCTTGGCTCACTGCAATCTCCGCCTCCCTGGTTCAAGTGATTCTCCTGCCTCAGCCTCCCAAGTAGCTGGGATTACAGGCATGTACCACCACACCTGGCTAATCTTTGTATTTTCAGTAAAGACTGGGTTTCACCATGTTGACCACCAGTTCAGGCTGGTCTTGAACTCCTAACTCAGGTGATCCACCTGCCTTGGCCTCCGAAAGTGTTGGGATTACAGGCGTGAGCCACTGTGCCCAGCCTAAACATAAGTTTTTATTTCTCTTTGGTAAATGCCCAGGGTTGTTAATTGCTTTGTGGTATGGTAGTTGCATGTTTACTAAGAAACTGCTGAATTATTTGCTAGAATGGCTTGTACCATTTTGTATTCCCCCCAGCAGTGGATGAGTGATCCAGTGTCTCTGCATCCTTACTAGCTTTTGGTATTGCCACCTTTTGTTTTGTTTTGTTTTTTAAAGACATTCTGATACGTGTGTATCAATATCTCACTGATTTTAATTTGCATAATGGCTCATGATGTTGAACCTTTTTTTGTGTACTTATTTGCTACCTGTGTATCCTTTTTGGTGAAATGTCTCTATGTCTTTTGCTCATTTTCTAATTAAATTTTTGACTTAACTGAGTTGTTTTGTTTTGTTTTGAGATGAAGTCTCGCTCAGTCACCTAGACTGGAGTACAGTGGCACGATCTTGTTTCACTGCAGCCTCCACCTCCCAGGTTCAAGTGATTCTCCTACCTCAGCCTCCTGAGTAGCTGGGATTACAGGAATGCGCCACCACACCTGGCTAATTTTTATATTTTTAGTAGAGACGGGGTTTCACCATGTTGGCCAGGCTGGCCTGGAACTCCTGACCTCAGGTGGTCCACCTGCCTTGGCCTCCCGAAGTGCTAGGATTACAGGCGTGAGCCACTGCGCCTGGCCTGTTACTGAGCTTTTAAAGTGTTTTTGTGTTTTAGGGGCTAGTTTGTTGTTGGATATGAGGTTTGTTAATAATTTTCTCCTAGTCTGTAGCTTGTCTTTTCATCTGCTTTAATGAGGAATCTTTTACAGAGTAAAAGTTCTTAATTTTACTGAAGTCAAATTTATCAACTTATCCATTGGCTGCAGCGAATATTCTCTGTCCCCTTAGCATACAGAGGTGGACTGTCATCCTTCTTTTCCATTTGTATTCATGCTTTATACTAAAGATAGTGATATTTTTGGGTGTTACTCTTGTTGTTCTGTTTGGTCCAGTAACTCCTAATGGTTTTTGAACGGTTTCTACTTAAGTTATTCTAAACAAAAGAGAAAATGATCCTAATTTGATTTTTCCAAACAGTCTTGGCTGTCCGTATGCATCATAATGATTTTTGATGTCTATGAAACAATTCTCCGCATTGGTTCTGAACATAAATTTTACCATGTCTCCAGATTGTTAAAACTACTCGGGTCAAGAAAATATTGTTTGTCAGTTTTGGAATGGGTATGGTAGTTCTTACCTCGTGTGATATAAAAAGATTGAATCCACAATTGCTGCAAAATAACATTAGTTTGTTTCTATGGATGCATTGTGCTAAGTTCCACCACAAATGTGTTAAATATTTAAGTAAATCATGGTAGTGTGTAGCAGGAACAGTTAATTTCCCTCTGTCATTTGAGAGGTATAACTATGTCGTAGGTCTTTTATATTAAATAGAACTAAGAAGCTTGAAGTTGGCTGGGCGTGCTGGCTCACACCTGTTGTAATCCTGGCTCTCTGGGAGGCTGAGGCAAGTGGATGACTTGAGCTCAGGAGTTCGAGACTGGCCTGGCCAACATGGTGAAACCCCATCTCTACTAAAAATACAAAAATTAGCCAGACATGGTAGTGTGCATCTGTAATTGAAGCGTGAGAATCTCCTGAACCCGGGAGGTGGAGGTTGCAGTGAGCCGAGATAGTGCCGTTGGAGATGTCCCATTGTGTCTGGGAGACAGAGTGAGATTCTGATTCCAAAAAAACACAAAAAATAACATTTGAAAAAAGAAGCTTAAAATTAAATGAGTTTAAAAGGCCCCATGCGATTTACCATTGTGTATGTCTTTCAGTTGCCAGAGTCAGCCGTCCGAGACCTCATCGTAGCCACCATTGCTGTCAAGTACACTCAGTCTAACTCCGTGTGCTACGCCAAGAATGGGCAGGTAAATGGGCTGTTGGACTTGCCTTCAGGGGACTGTTTTACGAAATTATATTTAAGCATCCGTCTGCCTTAGATATTGGACAGCCTAAAAGGGAATACGTGCCAAGTGTTTCTCTTTTGGGTTTGTTAGTGTTTTCCTCAGTACCCTGGTGGGCTGTTAAAACTAATGATGATCAGAAAATATCTTTGGCACCAGGTACTTGGAACCAGGTACTCAAATTAGTTGTGCCGCTTCTTGCCTGGAGTAGCTTGGCACATTTTGGATTAGTGAGACTCTAATAGCTGTTACAAAACTGGATTATTTACTCTTCTTTTCCCCCATTGCTAGTATTTCCAGGGAAGAGGAGGTAAGTTATGGTACTGCCACCTGCCAGCCTATATTTTTGCGGCCTGCAGGGTATTTTCACATTATTTTTTACATTGTCTTATCAAGAATCTGCTGAGTAGAAAGACTGCTAGACTAGGAGTTAACCTGATCTTTAAAAAATCATGTTTATTGAGGCATAATTTGTATACAGTAGAATTCACCTTTTTAAATGTACAGTTTGACCAGCTTTCACAAATTTCACAGGATGTGACCGCTGCTGCAATAAAATACTGAACATTTCTCACTGTGTAATGTTAAGCAAGACATTGAACTTCTTTCCTAGTGTCCCAAGCCTCAAAATACAAGATCGAACTGATTCATCTCTGAGGTCTCTGCTAGCCTTTTCTTCACATGGTGTCCTGAGCTTATCTCTTTGGCATTTGTTAAATTATTTGGCCCACACGTGATGGGGAGGCAGATGGATATGAATTAGCCTATGGCCTGGAAGACCCAAGATTGCCAGTCTCTGTAGTAACAAACTCGTGGGACATTGTGTCTACTGACGTCAGGTTCTAGGAAGTTCTGTAAGTCCATGTAGAGTGAGTCCTTCTTTCCTGATGTCCAGGTGGAGGCGGCTGCACAGGTGTTTGTGATCTCTTTTGTCCTCTTGTAGCTGTGGGCAGGGTTGCCAGCAGCTGTGCTCAGAAAGAGAGAGACTGTTGGGCAGACAGCTGAGGGGGCTGTTCATTGTAGTAACTAAAACCAGAAAACACACCTGTGCATTTAAGTCCTTAGTGCTTAGAATTCAACCCATAGAAATAGAGGAAGGAAGGAAGAACATTTGTACCTGGTGGAATTGTTTCTACTTTTAAGCTACCCGCGTCAGATCCTTATCTCAATTTCTGAGAGTTGATATTTTAACTATAATTTATACACTGGGGCAAAGACTTTCAAATAACCGTAGTTATTTTTGTGGTCATTGGTTTTATTTATCAGTTAATTATAGAGACAAGGTCTTGCTCCGTTGCCCAGGCCAGAGTACAGTGACATGATCATAGCTCACTGTAGCCTTGGACTCCTGGGCTCAAGCGATCCTCCCACTTCAGCCTCCTGAGTAGCTGGACTACAGGTGTGCGCCACCACCCCCAGCTATTTTTTTATGTTTATTTTTTATAGAGATGAGATGTTGCCATCTTGCCCAGGCTGGTCTCCTGGGCTCAAGTGATCCTTCTGTCCTGGCCTCCCAAAGTGCTGGGATTATGGGCATGAGCCAGTGTGCCCAGCATTGGTCATTAATTTTAACTTTTTTTTTTTTTTTTTTTTTGGCCTCAAGCCATCAATTTTATTGAATTGTAGAATATTAATAGTCATGTCACATATCACTGAAGAGCTATAAATAGTAGTTATAAACCTCTTATTACCCCCCCTTTTAATGACTTAAAAATTATTTATATTTCTCTTGGCCTGATATGTTCCTCCACAAAACTAATAAATAGGTTTTAGAGAATGTGCACAAAAGATCCTTTTGAGAAGAAAGTGTTGTTGGAAGAGGTGTTCACTTTAATGTCTGTGTTCCTCAGGTTATCGGCATTGGAGCAGGACAGCAGTCTCGTATACACTGCACTCGACTTGCAGGAGATAAGGCAAACTATTGGTGGCTTAGACACCATCCACAAGTGCTTTCGATGAAGTTTAAAACAGGAGTGAAGAGAGCAGAAATCTCCAATGCCATCGATCAATACGTGACTGGAACCATTGGCGAGGTGAAAGACTTGTCATTGGGTTCTGGGCTGTATTAATATTCAGTTCACTCCTTTATGTGTAACAGATTTTAGCTTCATCACTACACAGAGAAAAAGATACTTTCCTTGAAATTCTATGTTGTCTAAAATTGAGCATTGAAACTTCTTACACATTTCTCCTTTTCTTCTGTCTCATGTAACTTTCTTCATTGTTTTTGACCCCTTTCTGAAGCCACAGACCTCTGTCTTTTTAAGTTGCAGCCTTGGTGTAGGTTTGTATATTGTACTTCCCCTGTTGTTTATAAGCTTTTGATGACAAGGACTGCTTTTCACCTATGTCGAGATGTCTGCCATCGTGTCAGGCATGGTGCTTGCTGTCTGACGGGTCTATATTCAACATTAAATACAAATTGCTTGACGGCAGGTAACTGTAGAGTCTTCTCCCACCATATTTTCTACATGTGCCATTAATAACTTGATATATTTTATTACATTTCATGTTCTTCTGTTTGAAGAAGGTATGTGGGAACATGACAATCGCAAACTTTAGGTAGGTAGCCTGCCAGAAGAAAAGATCTAGCCTAGTTTCTGGACATATTGCATGCCTAACAAAATGCTGGATGGAAAACAGAAGCCTGCTTAATCAAATAGTAGATGGTCTTCTGAAGAGCCAATTGACTACCCTCAGTTTTTTATTCAGAAGCAGGAATCAACATCAGTGTCATTGAAGAATGAGGCTGCAGAATGTAACTGAAGTACTTAAAATATCTTTTTTTTTTTTAACTTTGATACTTGGATTTTTCTGTTTGATATTATCAGTCAACCCCTGCTACTAGTCCTGGAAGAGTCCTGGAAGTGAACAAGAGTAAAAGTACATCAAAGCTAAAACATCACCCAAGATAGAAGCACCTTGTAAAATATGATTTACTGTCTTAGTCTGTTTGTGCTGCTTTGACACAATCCTGCAGGCTGGGTAACTTATAAACCATAGATACTTATTTTTCATAGTTCCGGAGGCTGTGAAGTCTCAGATCAAGGTACTGGTGGGCTGAGAGTCTGGGGAGGCCTACCCTCTGCTTCCAAGATGGCACAGCCCTCTCTGGAGAGGACAGACACCGTGTCCTTACTTCACAGAAGGGGCAAACTTCCTCTGAAGCCCTTTTATAAGTCCATAATCTATTCATGAGGGCCCCACTCTCATCGCCTAATAACCTTCTAAAGGCCTTACTTTTTAATACTGTTGCATTGAGGATTAAGTTTCAACATGAATTTTGGAGGAGATACACACTCAAACCATAGCAAATATGAATTGTGTTTTGTCTACAACTGATTTTAGATTTAAAATAATTTTTGTATAAACATAGTTATAGAACATTCATCCTCATCTCTTTCCTAGATTGGATATGGAGGGGTTTTATTTGAAAACTGAAAACCCTTGGAATACAATTTTTTATTTGCCTTCTTTGCTACAGTACTATCAAAGCAGTAGGTCTAAATTAGACAGTAGTCTAATTAATAGACATAAAGTAGTAGATACGAAGCAGATTTAAATTAGAGATTTTTAAAACTGTGTATTTTTATGTAAGTAGCTTAGCCAAAAATAGAAAAATTATATATATACTTGGAATAAACTGATTTAGAAAGTAAAATGGTATTATCTTTATTTGGTAAACTTAGAATCACTTTTTTTCCTTAATGAAAATGTTTCTAAAAGCATCAGAGAGATTCTAGATATGTGAACTTCTATGTAAATAATGGTCATTATTTACAGTTAAGAAGTTCTGGCTGGGCGCGGTGGCTCATGCCTGTAATCCCAGCACTTTGGGAGGCCAAGGTGGGCGGGTCACAAGGTCAAGAGATTGAGACCCTCCTGGCCAACGTGGTGAAACTCTGTCTACACAAATACAAAAATTAGCTGGGTGTGGTGGTATGCTCTTGTAGTGCCAGGTATTTGGGAGGCTGAGGCAGGAGAATTGCTTGAACCTGGGAGGTAGAGGTTGCAGGGAGCCGAGATCGTGCCATTGCACTCCAGCCTGGTAACAGTGCAAGACTCCGTCTAAAATAAATAAATAATAATAATAAAAAGAAATCCTAGGAAAAATGCCCAGGTGCTTTCTGGCATTGGTGCTTTGCACCAGATGGGACTAAAGACAATGTCAGACTAAGCTTCTTCCTTTCTCTCTCCCCACATAGGATGAAGATTTGATCAAGTGGAAGGCATTGTTTGAGGAAGTCCCTGAGTTACTCACTGAGGCAGAGAAGAAGGAATGGGTTGAGAAACTGACTGAAGTTTCTATCAGCTCTGATGCCTTCTTCCCTTTCAGAGATAATGTAGACAGAGCTAAAAGGGTAAGTATGGAATTGGGTGCGTTTGCCTAGAGTTGAGCATTATGTAGAAACTGTTTCAGAAATTCTGCTTTTGTTTTTTTAAAGGTGTGGTAAAGTGATACAGATTGGTAATATTCAGAGAACCATTTGGCTTATCCATTGGGTGGATGGAGAGCCCAAATCTGTTGTTATTCTGCCTGTTTGAGTGGATCTTTGTTAGCATATGCTTTTTAGAGGGGGATTTTGAGTTTTGCAGGTTTTTGCATAAAGTTGCGTTTTGAAAATCAATTCCCCCAGAGTGGTGTGGCGTACATTGCGGCTCCCGCCGGTTCTGCTGCTGACAAAGTTGTGATTGAAGCCTGCGACGAACTGGGAATCATCCTCGCTCATACGAACCTTCGGCTCTTCCACCACTGATTCACACGCTGCTTTTTGGCTTACTTATGTGTAGGTGAACAGTCACGCCTGAAACTTTATGAGAATAACTTTTTAAAAAAATAAAACAGCACCTCTTAATCACTGGATCCATAGTTTTTGGTAGTTGTGTTTTATGTTAAAGATACAGGCTCTTTCAACTGACACATGACACATAAATGAGGAATTCCAGAGCACCCCCACCTGCCGGAGCTCAGCCCGTCCCACAGCACTGCCTGTGTGAAACATAAACATTCACGGGAACCAAACGGACTGAGCAGCCAGAGGACATGGCACAAGTGTCTTAAAGCTCCATGTTTCCTCCCAGGGGAGTCTTCTCATGCTGTTTTTTTTTTTTTAAATGTATTTTTTTGAGATGGAGTCTCGCTCTGTTGCCCAGGCTAGTCAGTGATGTGATCTCAGCTCACTGTAACCTCCGCCTCCCAGGTTCAAGTGATTCTTCCGCCTTAGCCTCCCAAGTAGCTAGGATTACAGGCATGTACCGCCAAGCCTGGCTAATTTTTGTATTTTTAGTAGAGACAGGTTTCACCATGTTGGTTAGGCTGGTCTCGAACTCCTGACCTCGTGATCCACCTGCCTCGGCCTCCCAAAGTGCTGGGATTACAGGCGTGAGCCACTGCGCCCGGGCCTCATGCCATTTATTTTTAATCACACTTCTGAGAAGCTTCGTTGTCTACTTTTCAAACACAGCAGATTGACACCTGTGAACTGGAACCTTAGAGGGGATTAGTAAGTCTTGCTGACACCCTGTATGGATAATCTAATGCATCTTTTTCTTAGTGCTAAGTGAAATGTTTCCCAGAATTTCAGCAGCCATAGATTCACTCTCTGGAGCTACATAAAAATGTCGTCGATGTTCAGTGCTCAGAAATTGTACCCAATATTCCAGTTACAGGCTTATCACTGCAGTGGGCACAGTGGGAGGGCAGTGCCTTCCTTCGTCAGGACAGCCCTGTGCATCTGTGTGTCCTGCCTGTGTGCTTCTGACCATTCCTGTGCATTGCACCTGTGTTCAACTAAAACCCTTTGCCATTGTTCACCTTGACTGATGAGTCCTACCCTCTTCCCAAGTCTTTAACCTACCCCCCCTTGCTAAATAAAAATTTCTGAAGTTTTTTTCTTAATGGTCATGTTTCTAATTTATTTCTGCATCAGCTAGTCTTCCAGCCCCTGCATAGTACCTGCCCACATTGAAACAAGGCTGACTTGTGTGATCAGTAAAACACTGCAGAAAAAATATGACTTTTGAGGCTAGGTCCTAATGCATTGCAACTTTAACCTTGTTTTTTTGGATTACTTCGTCTGGGATAAGCCAAGGCCACGTTGTAAGATTTAAGCAGCCCTCCACAAGGAGAGAAGCCATCTTGCTTACACTTGCTGCCAGCCATATGAGTGAGCCACCTCAGAGGTGGATCCTCCAGCTCCAGTCCCAGGCAACATCTGGCTTCAACCTCTTCAGAGACCTGAGCCAGAACTGCCCAAAAGAGCTCTTGAATTCCTGACCCAGAGATACAGAGAGATGCATGCTGTCGTAAGCCACAAAGTTCTGGGATAATTATGTAGCAGTGAATAGCTAATACAGATTTTGGCTTATAAATTAAGTGTGCATTGTCTTTTTGATGGTTCTTTGGCTTGACCAAAGGTTAACATTAAGGGTATGATAATGGGAACAGGCTGGGCACTGTGTCTCCCGTCTATAATCCTAGCACTTTGAGAGGATCGCTTGAGGCCAGGCATTCAAGACCAGCCTGGGCAACATAGCAACATCCTCATCTCTAAAAATAAAAAAGACAATTTTAATTAGCTGGACGTGGTTGCTCGTGTTTGTAGTATTCTTCACACAAATGAAGAATAAATAAATGGAGAACATACAACTCCCATGCAGAAGAATTCTAAGTAATTTACATCAACACTCCACCTTTAAGATGGGCATAACTCCCAGTCCTTAAGTGTGGCCTGTACACAGTGACTTGCTTGCAAAGAGGAGAGTATAGACATGGGAATAAAATAGTAACTACAGTGGAGAAAACTGACACTTTCTCAGCCAGATGATCAAGGTCAACATCGATAATGTCATGTTGCTAGGAAATACCTCAAAATGGGAGAATGGCACTTTACCTTTTTGGTCTTCTTTCAAAGACCCTGTACTATCAGCTTAATCATGAGAAAAACATCAGATATAACCTAGCTGAAGGACTTTACAAAATACCTTCCTACTGTCAAGATCATCAAAAAGAAGAGAAGCATGAGAAATTGTCATGCTTAGAAGAGCCTAAGGAGACGTGATGACTAAATACAGTGTGGTGTCCTGGATAGCATACTGGAACAGAAAAAGGACATTAGGTAAAAACTAAGAAAACCTAAAGTGGTTAGTTAATATGTATCAATATTGGTTCACTCATTGTAATAAATGTACTATGCTAATGTGAAATACTAATAATAGGGGAAATTAGGTGTGATGTATCCTCACAATTTTTTCTGTAAACATAAAACTTAGAAAATAGGCTGGGCGTGGTGGCTCACGCCTGTAATCCCAGCACTTTGGGACGCCAAGGTGGGCGGATCACCTGAGGTCAGGAGTTCAAGACCATCCTGGCCAACATAGTGAAACCCCGTCTCTACTAAGGATACAAAAATTGGCCAGGCGCGGTGGCTCACGCCTGTGGTCCCAGCACTTTGGGAGGCCGAGGTGGGCGGATCACGAGGTCAGGAGATCGAGACCATCCTGGCTAACATGGTGACATCCTATCTCTACTAAAAAATACAAAAAAATTAGCCAGGCGTGGTGGCGGGCGCCTGTAGTCCCAGCTACTCGGGAGGCTGAGGCAGGAGAATGGCGTGAACCCGGCAGGCGGAGCTTGCAGTAGTGAGCTGAGATGGCGCCACTGAACTCCAGCCTGGATGACAGAGCGAGACTTCGTCTCAAAGAAAAAGAAAAAAAGAAATACAAAAATTAGCCAGGTGTGGTGGCACGCGCCTGTAGTCCCAGCTACTTGCGAGGCTGAGGCAGGAGAATTGTGAACCCGGGAGGCGGAGCTTGCAGTGAGATGAGATCGCTCCACTGCACTTCAGCCTGGGCGACAGAGCAAGACTCCGTCTCAAGAAAAATTAAAAAATAAATTAAACTCTTACAAAATAAAAAGCCTATTTAAAAAAGTATATAACCACATTCAAGTATCGTACTAAAAGGATAAGTCGTTTTGAATATTAAATACCCAATCACCTTTAGATCTCACCCAATGGCTAATTTTTTTTTTTTTTTTCAGTTTTTTGATTGTGCTACCCAAGCCTGGTACATCCATTGCATTTGATTGGCATATCTCAAGTGTCTTCAACAACTGGTTTCTCCTTTTTAGATTTTTTTCTTGCAGTCGATTGACTGAAGATTTTTGATCCCATAGTGTCCCACATACTGTACTGTGCCATTGCATTCCTGTGATGTCATTTAGTTTGTGCCTCTGCTCCTTTGTTACACATTGATAGCTGTAGTTAACGTAAATTTTTTTAGTTTGATTTATTGAGAATTTAGAAAAAGGTTTTGAAACTTCCCTCCATGAGGATGAGTTTTCCATTTTCTTCCTGCAGATTTGTAAATGTTCACTTCATACATATTTGAGGCTAAAAACATGGACACATGTTTAAGGTTATTACTGATTTTGGTTCTGAGTTTTCTTTAATGCATTTTGTCAACCTTTCCCTTTGCACTCAGCCCATTTGTATTCAATTACTGATAATATTTGAGGTCTATTTTTACTATCCTATAAAGTTTGACCCCCTTTTAATTCCTTTCTTCTCCCCCATCACCCCTACCCCACCCCATTCCAAACTCCTGTTGATTCCTGGACTTGAGGTTACATTTTCACTTAGCCTTTTTTTTTAAGACCAGACTAAGGTTTCTATTTACCTTCACTTCGTGTATCTATTGCAGTGCCTACAGTTTCTCCTCTTGTGTTAACTGTGTGCAGTGTCTGTGTGGTGAAGCTTCCGAGACCTTATATGTCTAAGGTTTTTTTTTTTTTTTGAGACAGATTTTCACTCATGTGGCCCAGGGTGGAGTGCAATGGTGTGCTCTCGGCTCAGTGCAACCTCCACCTCCCAGGTTCAATCGATTCTCCTGCACCAACCTCTCAAGAAGCTGGGATTATAGGTGCACGCCACCACACCCAGCTAATTTTTGTACTTTTAGTAGAGATGGGGTTTCACAATGTTAGCCAGGCTGGTCTCGAACTCCTGACCTCAGGTGATCTGCCTGCCTTGGCCTTTCAAAGTGCTCGGATTATAGGCATGAGCCACCGCACCCGGCCAACTAAGGATATTTTTATCATGCTTGTATATTTGAATTCATTTTGGCTATGCTTACAATTCTCAGTTTTAAATTCTGTAATACTTTAAAAACACTGTTCGGTTTTTTCTTGTATTCATTGTTGTATTTAAAATCTGATGTCAATCTGGTTCTTGTTCCTTCTCAGGAAACTTTTTTTGAGACAAAGTCATTCACTGTTGACCATGGCAGGCTGGAGTGTAGTGGTGTGATCTCCGCTCACCACAGCCTCTGCCTCCGTGGTTGAAGCAGTTTTCATGCCTCAGCCTCTCGAATAGCTGGGACTACGCGTGTGCACCACCACACCGGCCAATTTTTGTGTTTTTAGTGGAGATGGGGTTTCACCATGTTGCCCATACCGGTCTTGAACTCCTGACTTCAGGTGATTTACCCGCCTCAGCCTCCCAAAGTGCTGGGATTACAGGTGTGAGCCACCATGCTTTCTCAGGAAACTTTAATTTTTTCCTGGGTATTTTCAAGCTTCTATAATGTGTCTAGGTGTGGGTGTTACGCGTATTTCCCTTTGTTGGCACTCTGGGTTTTTCATTCTAGGAAACTTATTCCTGTTATTTGTGCTAATATTTCCTCTCCCATTTCTTCTCTCTGTGGTGTTTTATCCAAATGTTAGTATTTCTAAGCAATTCTATATCTCTTAGCCTTTCTTTTATATTTTATATTTCATTTTCTTTTATTCGTCCCTCCAGATTTCTTTAGTCTGGTCTTCTATTTTTTTTTTTTTTTTTTTTTTGAGACGGAGTCTCGCTCTGTCACCCAGGCTGGAGTGCGGTGGCCGGATCTCAGCTCACTACAAGCTCCGCCTCCCGGGTTCACGCCATTCTCCTGCCTCAGCCTCCCGAGTAGCTGGGACTATAGGCGCCCGCCACCTCGCCCGGCTAGTTTTTTGTATTTTTTAGTAGAGACGGGGTTTCACCGTGTTAGCCAGGATGGTCTCGATCTCCTGACCTCGTGATCCGCCCGTCTCGGCCTCCCAAAGTGCTGGGATTACAGGCGTGAGCCACCGCGCCCGGCCTAGTCTGGTCTTCTAATTTACTCATGAATTCTTACAGTGTATCCATTCTGCTGTGTGTCCTGTCTATTGATCTCTTTATTTCAGGAGTTATATTTTTCACTTCAAATATTTCTGGTTTTCTTTTCCAATTGTTGGTATCATCTTTCTAGCTTTGACTATTTCTACTTCTGTTAGAATCTGTAATCTAGTATGTTACTGTTCTTTTAAAATCTGTTTACTCAAGTGTTGTGATATGTTGGCCTGTGAGCTCATTTTCCCTAACACCAGCTACCCAGCAGCACGTGCTTGAGACAGATCAACTGATGCACTCCTCGCCAGCCCCAAGGGGTTCAGGAAGGACAGGTTTGAAAGAACCCTGGGGAGGAGCACCCAAGCAGCAAAAACAACCATTCTTCACTCTAGAAAACGACTCAGTTTAGGGCTGTCAACAGCTTCTTTCTCATTTTACTGTCTCACTTCCCTGCGTTTTGCGAAAAAAAGCGGTGTCCTGCCTTAAGCGAAAGTGCCACCCCTCACACACAAGCTCACTCCTGGGTTCCTCATATTTTGCTCTGTGAGGTGGTGTTTTCCTTTATATGTACTCAAGTTAATGTTGGTGGACGTAACCAGTAACCAAAGAAGTTGAGCACTTTGGGAGGGTCTGGAGCTGGAACCCCATTAACATATGTGTCTAGTACAATTCAATCATTTGAAACGTCAAGACTGGAGTTTCACTGGTATGCATAATGATCTTATGTCTGTTGTTTCCATGGTACTGAAGGAAAGAAGATCCA